TGGTCTACCACATCTGACCGCCGCGGTGCCCCTGCCAGACAACAGACGAGGCTCTGGCGACCGAGAAATGGCGGTATAACCATACACCCGACTGGGCAACCATTCGGCAGAGGCTATAGCGGCCTTGAAGTCTAAATAACTTCTTAAAAGTCTAATGCAGAAGGCAACGGGAAACCACTGCATAATTTATTCCCTAGTCATCAGTTCACCATGGAAAAGTCAAAGAAAGAAATGGCCCCGAGTTCCTGGCGTCCCTTAAATGGGACAGGGGTGCGAAGAATCCCCAGGCGCACAACCGAAAAAACAATAAAGTTAGGGACATGGAATGTCAGAAGTTTGAAAAGTCCAGAAAAAGCTCATAACGTATGCAAAGAAATGAAACGTCTGAAAATTGACATACTAGGTATAAGTGACGTGAGATGGATTGGAAGCGGTAAACATCAGATAGATGGGGATCACGTCATGTATTACTCTGGCTCCAATGACATCTCCAATAAATATGGAGTAGGAGTAATCATAAACACAAAAAGATTAAACTACACTTATAGCTTCCTACCTAATTCAAACCGTACCATGATGCTTCAAATACAGGCGAAACCCAGAAATATAAACGTTATCCCGGTATATGCACCAACTATTGATGGGACGGATCAAGACATACAAGGTTTCTACAGTGAAGTCGAACACCTACTCGGATTGACAAAAAAGCACTTATATTAACTTAGTGATAGGCGATATGAACGCCAAAGAAGGAAATATGGAGGTACTAGGTGTTACAGGAAAATTTGGATTGGGTACAAGGAATGAAAGAGGTGATACTTTCGTTCAATTTTGCCAAGAAAACGACTTTGTCATAATGAACACCTTTTTTCAATTGCCCCCCGACGGCTATATACCTGGACTTCACCTCGACATAATTCAGAACAAATAATTCGAAATCAGATTGACTACATAACTATAAATAATTGTTTTAAAAATTGCATCAAAAATACAAAAACGTACCCAGGCGCCGACGTTGGATCGGATCACAACTCAGTCATCGCTACAATATCATGCACCCTTAAGAAAGTTAAGAAGAAAGACAATTATAACAGACCAGACATAACAAAACTCGCAGACTTAAACACCAAAGCCAAAGTGGCGATGGAAATGAATAAATGGGCAGTAGAGGCACAATCACGGGCAAGTAATTCACCGGAAACAACATGGAACTCATTGAAATCTAAAGTTCTAGATATTAATAAGGTATTTTTAAAGCGTGACTGGGTCCCTAAACAAGTTTGGATGACAGAAAAAATCTACAGACTCATGGAAGAACGACGACTTTACAAACATACGACCGCTAAACAATATCAGGAACTACACAAAATAGTACGTAGAGAAGCTCGTTTTGCTCGTGATTCTTGGTACCGGCGTAAATGCGAATGTCTCGAAAACCTGTATAATAAGCACGATGCATTTAACTTACACAAAGAAATCAAAACACTCACAGGTCAGAAATTACCCTCAAGTCAATTGGTGGACGAAAACCTAGTCCCAATTCTAGACATATCAAAGAAGAAACATCGCTGGGAACAATATATTGCATCTTTGTTTTCTGACAATGACCGTAGTGAAGAATTGCCGTACGTAACCACTGAGGGATACTCTATTTTACCAGACGAGGTAATGAAAACTTTGCGTAAAGCCAAACATGGAAAATCGCCGGGACCTGACAATATCAATATTGACATATTGAAGTTAATCGAGGAACAGAACATCGAAGTTCTCGTTAACTTTATGAATTCTGTATACGATTCCGGTGAGCTGCCTCAAGATTCGTTGAAGTCAACGTTCGTCACTCTACCAAAGAAAACGAACGCCAAGAAATGCGAGGACTTCAGAACAATAAGTCTCATGAGCCACGTGCTAAAGTTATTCCTCAGTATTGTTAATGAACGGATAAGAACCAAGTGCGACGAACAACTTGCAGATAGCCAGTTTGGTTTTCGAGCAGGCGTGGGTACCAGAGAGGCCCTCTTTGCAATACAGGTTCTAGTACAGAAGTGCAGAGACATGCAACAAGATGTTTTTCTATGCTTCATCGATTACGAAAAAGCTTTTGACAAAGTGCTGCATGACCGCCTTATTGAACTTTTATATGACATTGGGCTAGACGGTAAGGATATCCGAATAATACGAAACCTGTATTGGAATCAACGAGCCAATGTCCGCGTCGAAAATGAAATAACGGAAGATGTTGATATTAAGAGAGGTGTCCGACAGGGCTGTATTTTATCACCAACGCTGTTTAATTTGTAATCGGAGGCAATTATGTCAGAGGCACTGCATGATTTGGACTGTGGAGTTAAAATTAATGGACGCAACATTAACAATCTGAGATACGCTGACGATACAGTTCTCATAGCATCCTCTCATCAAGATCTACAAAAAATAGTCGATCGGGTAAATCAATGCAGCGAAAAAGCAGGGCTTAAAATGAACGTCGCGAAAACAAAACTCATGATTATATCTAGAAAAGAAGTGACTGACGCTTGCATGTATGTGGCGGGCCAAAAACTGGAGAGGGTGCGCAAATACAAATATTTGGGTACGTGGTTAAATGAAGCTTGGGACAGCGATCAGGAAGTTAAGACCCGTATCGAAATAGCACGCAATGCATTTGAAAAAATGCGAAAAATTTTCTGCTCTCGCAGCCTTAAAATATCTTTGCGCATTCGACTCCTGAAGTGTTACATCTGGCCCATCCTCCTCTACGGATGCGAGGCTTGGACGATAAAAGAAGACTGCAGGAAACGTATTGAAGCGTTCGAGATGTGGGCCTATCGGCGGATGTTGGCCATAAGCTGGACTCACAAAGTATCAAACGGAGAGGTTCTGCGACGGGTCAATCACAAACGGGAACTTTTGCAGACCGTCAAGATGAGAAAAGTATCTTACCTCGGCCACGTGCTCAGGCACGACAGATACAATCTGATTCAACTCATCTTGATGGGAAAAGTTCCCGGTAAAAGGAGTGTTGGTCGCAGAAAAAAGTCCTGGTTGCGCAACATTCGAGAGTGGACAGGGGTTGCGAGTGCCGTCCAACTTTTTCGCCTCGCAAGAAACAAAGGAAAATATGGAGAACTGATCGCCAACCTTCGCTAGTCGGAGAGGCACCTCAAGAAGAAGAAGATTGATATATAGATGTGTAACCTATAGATTTAGTGTTTTATATTAGTTTGATGTTAATAATATAACAATTTTTAGAAATATGTATTAGACTTTAATATAAAATATACACTAGCATAATAAGATTTTCTCAAAATTGGAAAATGCAGTGTATATAAAATAAAAATATACTAAAATATAGGGAATTAAGTATCAAGTACAAAAGATAAAAAATATACCATTTAGTGAAAAATATGAAACAAAATTTATTTATTTAATTTGGATTTTACAAATATCACAACTTATAATATATCTTAAACTTTTTTGAACTAAGTAATAAAAATTAACCGAAATTGTATACAATTTTCTTACAAGTAATTTAAATTTCAACACAGGTACTTTACCCCAAAATGATGCCTCCTAAGCTCATTATTTTTCTCGTTAAGGAATCTATAGGTTAAACATCTATGGAGAATAGTAATAACAAAAGAGTTAATATGCGGAATCTTTAGCTTCTGGATAATTTCCTGAATTTATTTGAGAAGTAAAACTTAAATATTGTATTCTATTTTTACATTACATAATATTTAACATGACTTGTACATTTGCAATGTTTTGATAGGAAAAGTTTGGATTAGGGGACTATTTGGAGCGTCGGCAGTGCAGTTGGCGCTTGACCGGATCATATTTACATATCCAGGTACGATCTCCGCTATATAGTAATGCGTTCTTCGAATTTCTTGATAACATCCATCCGACATACTTGCTGTAATTACAAATTGCATACAACTGCATAGATATTCAAAGATATGTGTGAAGTCAACCAACCCTCACTGGCTCTGCGTTGTTGAATAAGACCTAGTCGCATTCCTGAGGGTAGGCTCCGAGCTCTCTGTGGAGTATAGTGTGTCCGTATAGTGAGCTTGATGATGACGATTTGTTTTGCTTCAATGCATATTGTCTTGTTAGCAATTTTCTAAATATTTTACCAACAGATAGGAGCTAATCTCTTTCCAGTGTTATTCTATTTCTCCCGACGAGAGTGACACTACTACTCCAGTTCTATCAGAAAATATGACCTATCAAATAAACAAACTGGAACAAATAAGCATTTATCAAAGTTGGGGTATTTTGTTGGTGAACTAAACAATAATGGTATTATTACGAAAGCAGTGAGCATTATGTTGCGTTCTTAAAATATGTTCGCTTTAGTCAGAAGATTAAATTAAAGTTGCTATTAACGAAATTGTTTTATTTTTCCAAATTGTTTTCCCTCAAATAATACTTTCATACGTCAAAAAGGAAACATATGGATTTTTTAGGTTGGTAGCAACGTAGATTTGTTCGTAATATTGCTAGCATTGAAAATGTCAATTTTTATTCTCCGTTTGTGTATCTAATTAGTCAAGAGTCCCGTCTCTTATTTTATATACTCTTTGCTTCTGATTTGATAACAATGTCCTCTATGTGCCGCCCAAATATTTACCACATTGCTGACCTGAGCGTTAACTGAGTGGAACAAAGAAAAAGTAAATAAAGGAAAACCCAAATTGAAATACATTTTTTATATTGTGTGAATGTGACATTGCCATTTTTTGTGCTGGCAAGTAAACAAATTTGGAAATTGTTTATGAAAAATTGAATTGTCATAGTCAATTGTCAAGGCGAGGTTTATTTATTCTACTCCATATTATTATCCTATTTGTAAAGCCACTGCTTGGAAATTGATCCTTCTTGAATTTTATTTTATTCCATGCAAGTCACTGCCTCAAACTAAAACACCGTTATTTATCGTATTCGCATAAGATTTTTGCTATTAGGAAAGGCAATCAAAGGTAAGAAAGTATTTTTTTTAACTTCGATGTATTATCCCAATTACAAAATAACTACAAAAGACGAATACACGGATTTGCAAAAAAAATTGTTTCAAATATTTACTGCGCACTTAGATCGAGTAAACGTTCAACTTGAACCGCATTTTTGACAGCATTTGCACATGCAACAGTAGCGTTGCATGCATTAATAATTAAATAAAGTTGTAGTTATTCAACCTATTAGTCATATAAGTATGTAAAACGACAATTTGTCTATTTTAGATTAAACTGAAAAATGGATTTATTAAATAGTATGAAAAATTTAACCATTAAACATACACAAAATGATGGTGATCATCAATTTTTTAAATCTATCTCAGCAGATATTGATGATGTTGCCACAGAAATTGTTTTGGCTGAATATGCTGAAAAAATTTTACTTATTGTATCTCAATATCAAAAAATAGGAAGTATGCTAATGATACAAAAAGACCAAGTCCACAGTCCTCTAGGTACAGACGATGTTTATACAACAAAAGTTATTTTTGGTGCCACAGGGGAAGATCAACAAGTAGCCGCAAGATACTTAGCTGAGGCCATCAAAATCACAAAACCACTCTGTATATTTATAAATCTAAAATCTTATGACATTGAAACTGTAAAAGCTTGCAAAGATATCATTTTAGATTTAAAGAAAGAAGAGAAATAGAACAATGGAAGTAGCAAGAAGAAATACTTTCAAAACTGTAAATAAGTTATATGGTCAACTTGTAATAGGTCCCCCCGGAGCAGGAAAGACAACATACTGTGACAAAATGGCACACTTGCTAAAGAAATTAGGACGGAAAGTTGTTATTATCAATTTAGATCCTGCCAATGACACAATGTCTTATAAAGCTGATATTGACATCAGACAACTTATAGTCCTTGAGGAAGTTATGGAACATTATAGTCTTGGTCCAAATGGAGCATTATTATATTGTTTGCAGTACTTAGAAAAAAACATTGAATGGTTATTAGATCAGATAAAAGGTGAACATGGCACAAATTTTATATTTGATTTACCTGGTCAAGTGGAGCTGTACTGTCATCATGATGTGATAAGCAATATTTTTTCAAAGTTGATTGAAAAAGCAAACTTGCAATTATGTGTAGTTCATCTTGTTGACTCACATCATTGTTCTGATGCTGGAAAATTCATAGCTGCATTGATGCTATCACTTACAGCCATGTTAAAGATTGCTCTACCCCATGTTAATTTATTAACAAAAGTTGATTTATTGAAAAAACATGTTGACAAACTTGAATTTGGAATAGATTTCTACACTGATGTTTTGGATTTAAATTATTTATTGGACAGTTTGGATGGTGATAGATTTACTGCAAAATATAAAAAACTTAATGCTGCTTTGGTATCTATAATTGAAGATTACAGTTTGGTGTCATTCCAACTGGTAAATATGTTCAATGAAGATAGTTTGATGTCTGTTAAAAAATTAGTGGATAAGGCTAATGGATTTGTATTTAAAGCAGAAGAGGGGAGACACATAAATAGTATGTTAGCCTGTGCTATGGGTGTCAGTGAACCTGTAGATATAGATAACTTTTAATAAAACATTTTGATCTGAAATTTGTTTTAATTTATCTAGTGTATGTACCTAATAATTATGTAACTAAGAAGTTACATAGCCAAGAGGCTAGGGTTGAATGATGAATAGGGTTTTAAATGCGATCTGAGTACTGTTCAAATTATTTATTTAGAACCACGGAAAATAACCTGTAATGCTTCAATCTGACTGTTTGTATAATTTCTGTTTTAACTCCATCTGTGGGCTATATTATAAAAATGTAACCAAGCAATTTAATAAAAAGAAAATGGCTTTTTAAGATTCCAAAAAACTTCTAAGTTTGTAAGAAAGTCCTTTGTTGCTAAAATTTCATTTCGTATTCAAAAACAGTACTTCCCACCAAAAATTTAAGCATGTCATTCGAGAGTAAGATGTGTCATAAGCACATTGACTGTTTTTATTTTATATCTGATCTTAGATGAGACATAAAGTACAGCATGATTTCTACATCATGACTTACAACAAATATTGTTTCAAAGATGGGAAATTAATAGATGAAGATTCTTAAAATTTTTACTCTTAATTTCAGATGTCAAAAAATAAACAGATTGAATACAAGAATCTTCTTGAAACGGAATCTAAGATTGATAAATTGCTCCAAGATAGTTCTAAATCGCACGATGTGCGTTTCCTACACGAATACAACAACATAAAGGATGCAGCTCAAGTCATCATTGGCCACATCGCCAACATAGAGGGAACCTCAGTCACAGAAATACACAAGCGACTCAATCTTACTGAATAAAAGTCAATTGAAATGATGGAACGTTTATTTGAAGACAAATACAACTCTTTACAATTTAAATTCATCCAATATTTTTGTGTTCATAAACTAAAATAGTAATGAACTTTTTTTTCTTTAATTTCACATTGCAGGTTTCATGTACTTAAGTTATAAGTGTTTTCAAAAAGCCACAGTTCCATGTTTGCTACTTCAATTACGAAAAATGTTTATGTATTACATGAGAAATATTCTAATATATTTTATTTTGACAATATTCAGTGACCATCGTCAGCAAACAAGTTTATAAAATGGATTAAAAAGGGTATTATACTGTTGCATACTCTAAAACTATATCGAATAATGGGTTTAAGACAATAAAAATAAAAACTACATCCTTCTCGGAATCACCACTAATGCGTAACATTTTAAAATGTGTTAAAGTTAAAATTAAGCAGCACAAAATTCGACCGATTGTCATGAAAGGCATTTCAATTAATTCCCATATATAAACGAGTGCGGTCCACGCCATGCCTTTCAATCATCGGCCAACTAATACAATATTATCGCCCATGTAATATTACCAAAACCTCTAAACATGTTTAAATTGTTGTTACACATAATTCTTAAACAAATCAAAATATATTGAAGTTAAAATTCTAGACGCTACATATTGTGTTTATTAATAAGCAAGCAATATTATATAATTGTTTATATAAATGTCTCATGCGACAGTTAGCTAAGTTAGCAATAGAGTGCCCGCCGAGCGCGGCCTCGCGTCACTGCCACCACAGCTCCGAGGTGACAAGTGACGGATCAGATGCGTTACCTTTAAATCCTTCGGCAATCATCTTCAAACACGGATCATATACATTTACATTAGCTTAAAAGTACCACAGTCCCCCTTCTTTTCATATACGAGTAATATTTTTAAAAAGACAAACTATGGGGTCATTTAAATGTTAGTAATGGGGATTATTATGATGTGTATATAAAAGTATAATGACAAGCTGTATTATAATCCGTGCTTGTAACGACAAGATGGTCGTAATGTATGTTTGCTCGATAAGTTGTAATCGTGTTTCAATTATCAAAATCTTATATTGTGGCAACAAATATGTTATTAACAAGTATGTTATTGTGGCAACATATTTCGTCTATGTACCAGCCAGGGTTAAAGCGTTCAAATTGTAAAGTCTTCATAGTTCCATGGTTCGCAGTTGCCGAGGGCTTAGTTTCTCATTAGAGAACTTTTGCAGAACGTGTATTCGAAATGGAATGTAACTGTATTGTGTGCTGATCGTGTCAACAGCTTTACCATCCATCGAGTATCAGACCGAGACTTGCGTCTCACAATATTCATGTTAGTCATTCCAGCTAAATTTAAGTATAACAATATAACAAATATACAAAAATACATAAAAATTGAAGAACATTCACAACACTGGGTCTCCTAAAATGCGTATAAATATATCACTAACAAATCTAAGTTTACTATCGAAATAATACCCTATAGGATGTGGAGATGACAGTATGTGAATGTTCCTTCAGTTTCATTAAAGGTCTATCGTTAGACTTAAATCTATGAGTTTCAGACTCGTTTCAGGGCAGTCCCACAGACTAAATTTCAAAAGCACCAACCGTCATTCAATAAATGCAATTTCTATACAAAAATTTCAGCCTTCCTACCGTACTTACAAGGTATAACACTCCATTCCAAACATATACCTACTAAAATACTTCAAAAATATTCTTTAGTCAGGTATATATCATGAAAAACATCTCAGTGAACCGAGTACTACCACACAAAGCGGAGCCAGCACATTACAACTACATAACATCTCCGATAACAAACAATTTAGCTAAGCTAAATCACTTTCCTTCAGCTTTGTGTGGTAGTGGTACAGACAACAAACAGAACAAATTTCAAGACCTTCGTCCTCTTTCAATAAAGCCTAAACATACATCAAGAATTCCTAAAAACAAGTCTGAACAGGATTGGTTTAATCAATCAAATCGAGATCAACATAACATTCTCGAGGGCAAAACGAACCACTCGCCTATCTCAGCTCCTCCTACCCTATGCCAGCACAGAGATACAAAAGGATTTCATTGACCAAACCAAACTTAGAATAAAACAATGCATTTGGTAAATTGTAAATATACTATGTGTAAATAAATAATGCCGACTCAGTACTTCATATGCTAAACTAAACATATTATATACTAAGTCATCTCACTTTTCAATTAAACGTGACTTAACGTGTTATTTCATTAAATATATAATTTCTAATTATCACTTGTCAAGTAATGGATGTTGAAGTCCTATCCTTATAAAAGATAAATATTGTCCTACCTTCAAAAGGTAGAGTATTGTCTTTGAACACTGTTACTTGCCGGGGATAATAACATCCCATATTATTATTGGAAAACATGCACTGAGCAAACAGTGTCCAAAGACGTCCGTCGTAATAGGTTGAGGCATAATATTGCAACTCCAATGTCACTCGTCTTCAATATTATATTTAATTGAACACTTGATGTGACAATTCAATTAATATAAAATCAGTCTCTATGTCGGGAAGTCTTTTTAGATGTTGAGGCACGTACGTCACTTTACAGATAACAACAAAATCTTACAACTTACAGATCATGTTGACTTTCTGCTAACAAATTTATTTATTATGCAACTTTATTTACGTGCTAATATAAACTTATGTCGATGTTATCTTAGCGTTGTATACCACGCTTATAAATTGTTGTTTACAGCTAGTAAATGTTACGTTTGTCAGTTAAAATGTCTTTTAAAATATAAAGAAAAAAAAAATAACCATTAGCATCAAAAACGTAGATGCATGTAAATGCTTCACCATTTTTTAACAAAATAAAAGCGAACGAGCAGCTGTTTAAAGTAACTAAAAACAAAAAAAAATAAAGTGAGAAGAGAATAAAATAACAAAAACAAGATAAAGTTACCTTTGGGTTAGGGTAATGTTTTTAGTTAGGTTCGGGCGCGTCGCCCTGGCCCATATGCTCCTTCTCCGCGTTATGGCAAACTTCCACCGCCTACAAAGTAAATTGTGACTCTCAATATGACATTTTTACATGTTTATGACTTCACTTAGTCATGTGCCACACCATTATTGTGGTCCAGCACTGCCCATGTGGTTTCTCTCATGTTACTCTTAATACCGAGTCATTTGGTGCCTCATTGTTTTATCATATGTGTGTAACATAACAAAATATTCTATTTCTTGCTCCGTTGACATTTCAAGATTTCAGTTTATATGTCTAGGTACAGAGATATTCTAGCAGAATGGTACAATAGTTATTCGACATTATTACTACTTTGATTGTTGAATTAACTGACTACAAAATACAATTCTAAATGGAAACGGTAAGTTAATTATGGACCATGTTTAATGGAATATGGAAATTATGCAACTCAGCTCTCGATGTACACTTTTCATCAGAGCATGGTGCGCTTCAATTATCTAAAAACCCACATTAACACAAAACTTTAACCTAATCAACTTTTGAAACATTTAAATAATTTTCTTATTTCTACTTAAATGAAGCTGCATAACCATGCTGCGATGACAGGAGTACATTAACATTAACTCGTTGTCCTATTTGGCGACAAACGCGACGACAAACTGTCAAATAATTGTATGTATTTGGTGAGCAACATAATGTATGAACGTTAGACCGCGCCGCGTCTGTCGCGCCTAGGACAAGGAGTTCGGGAGTCATTAGACAGTCACCTTGTTCTTGTCAAGCGGTCCATTGGCCTCGAGAGATTGAGCTACATCAGTCTTCTGGCCGGTGCCCTTCTTTTTCCCTTTTCCTACATTCTTTTTAATATTTTTACCAGATTTTGATTTCTGAGCTTGAGATCCTGCATAATTATAATTGTTAGGTGAATGGTTAGTACAATTAAATGAGTATTTTTTGTGCGTTAAACAAATATAAACCTTCTGCTTCATCTGGAATGACGTTGTCCTCGTGCGGGCTGCCGTCGTCCCCCTGGGTGCCGATGTCTTCCGGTCGCACAGTTTTCCTACATTAAATAATAAATATTGTTAGTTACAACAGCTTTTTGTCTTGTTTATTTTCTTTATAGGGTTTTTTCATGTACTACAAGCTACATATTATACGATGAATAAATGTAAATTTGTTACCCGTTAACAGTGATGGTGGCGGGGCGCAGGGGCTCGTCGTGTTCGCGGCGAGTGCGTCGAGCGCCCCGCCCCGCGCCGCGCGCCCCGCGAGTCCCGCGCCCGCCCCGCCCGCCGCGCGCGCCCCGCCACCCGCGCCCGCCGTACGCGTTGCGCGGCGGCGGCGTGTACCCCACGTAGCTCACCTGCTGATGTACCCACACCAAAACTTATTAACAACATTAAACACTTCAACATACACAATAAAAAGTTGCTCAAACTTTTAAATTAAATCTATAAATATTAATATATTATGTAAATATGAAGAGTTAATTGAACAAACAAATTTTTAAATTTCGTCTTTTTGTATGTCTTTCCGCAAGACGCGTTATTTCCGGGTAAATTTCGGAAAGCCTGGGCTGATTTTGACGGGACTTGGACAGAATGGTAGCCGATGCACGCAGGCATATTATAGGCTTTTTTCTTTCTTATTCTTTATTATTTACGAATGTATAGTAATATAAAAACCTGTGGGTATCTCTGCGTGCGCGAGGGGTAGCTGCCGCCGCCCCACTGTCCGACGACGACGCCGGCGATTTCGAGACGTGCTCCGGCACCGCGGCCGCGACCACGCCCCCATCCGCCTAGCTGGCCGCCCAAGGAGCCGCCCAGCGCACCGCCAACTACTCCCGCCACCAGCGGCAGCGGAGGCAGCGCAAACTCCACCTCCAGACCCTCCAGTATCGCCTTGCGCATTCTCTCCACCTGATTTATATAGTTAAATAGTAAAAAAGCTGTCATAGTTGACGAGTTACTCCTAGTGTTGGCTGGCAATCAAACTGTACTCTTCGGTGAAGAATTGATAAATTAGTATAGATACACTAATTTATCAATTCTTCACCGAAGAGTTTATCTGTGATGCGGGCGTGTGTATACCTTGACGACGGTGTCGAGGTGGTTGTCGCAGAGCTGAGCGAGGTGCTTGCAGTGCGCGGCGCGGTGCAGATTGCGCTGCAGCAGCTTGCCGTCGAAGTAGAGCCAGGGCGCGGCAACTAGCCAGGGCACGGGTGCGCCGCACGCATCGTTAGCCAGCAGCGCAGCCTCCGCGCCCGCCATTACCAGCGCGCTCAGCTGCACACCGCGGGAACTTATGCCGTTTACCTAAAAATGCATTTAATTATTTGAGAGGTTTATAAATAAATAAAAACACGGGCAATAATTGAGAACCATATTTCTGGATAAAAGAAAAATTTGCTCAATGTATGCTTAAGTATCTTTTTGGTCTAATTAAAAGATGACAATTTCTAGAGATACGATAAAAAACTCACTGCCATTTCTTGCAAATGTAGAGCGTTCATGAGATCATTTGAAAAAGCTGTTGCCAAGAATGCATCAAGTTCCTGGCGGCGCAGAATTTGAATCTGGGATGTCATGATGAACCTAAAAATGTTTGACAAATTAGTGACAGTTCAAATTTTAGATAGTCATGGTATTAGGAAATGAGAAACAACTTACCTTAAGACGGTGGCTAATATCAGTAAATGTTGTGGCACATAGGATGTGTTTAACATGAGCGGAGTGTCAGATCGCATGCAGGACAGGAACGCGCGCATGCGGCGACATTTGTCATCTTGAGCAGTTCTGTGGACATAAAGATTTCTATACTTTAATATTTTTAACGCCAGAAAAGGTTTTTGTTCTATAAAATCTAAAATCTAAAATCAACATGTTTTATATTTTGACTGTGGCATAGCAATGATGGGTCCAGCTAGTAAATATAACATACTAGCAGTTACTCTCGACTTCCTTCTCGTGAAAAACTGTTAACCAGGAATAGTGAAACACACAAACAGTAAAAGATTTTTTTTAAAAACTGATTCAGTAGTTTTAAAACCCACAGTATGCAATGATTTTAGAATATATAACGACTGTATTTGTTAAAAGCTCACCCGAACCAGAGCCTCTGCACAGTGGGCACTGGCCAGTCGAGGATGACGCCGGGCACCAGCTCGGCCGCCTTGCCGGGGTTCACGCGCGAGTAGATCCACTCCGACACCTGCACCTGGCATGGCCTCTCGTTGCTACCGGCACTTGTTGATCCCTCCTCTAATACCAAAAACAATCATTTATTATTATCAATACAAACAAAAGATTAAAAAGAACGTTTTATTACAAATCCGAAGTATTTTCAACAAAGACTAACTGCACATTTGTCGCCAAAACTTTTCCGATTTTTGGTAAAATACTTTTTGTCACAATAAAATATTAGATCACTTATTTTACAATATCACATCACAATGCTTCAAAAAAACATGAATCAGCAGAACAGCCCGATTTTGGCGTCGGATTAAAATATACATTGGTGCAGATGTAACAAATAAAATTCAAGAGTTACCTTTAGCTTTCTGCGCCATGAAGCGATGATGGTGCATATTATATAGGATAGCATAAACATTCTGGCGGATGGGTCTAAAGAAATGATGTATAGATGGTATCTCGCGGTGGTTGTCGTCCTCCATGAGCACGGGCAGGGTGATCTGTCGGTGTGTCAGTATGGACAGCATCTGGGGGTGCATCAGGCCCCGCGTGTGCCGCTCCGCACACGTCCGCAGCACCTCGGCCGGTGCTGGGGGGCAGTTGTCATCACTCTGGACTATCTTACTCCCGCACACTGCCACCTGTAACAAAAATATTTTGTATTTATCGCGAAACGCACTAATATTGTTAAAAAATGTAATTTAAAGATTATTTTTTATGAAATTTTAATTTTCTTTCTACAGTCCGGGCGCGTAGCATACCTGTAGCCTAAATATGGTCAGGTCATTATAGGAAATAATACCTCATACACATGTCTGCATTTGTAGATATTTAGGGTTCATCATATAATGGAAAATCAATGGATAGATGCACTAAATAGTCATTTAGTAAATTACAATTTATATAAAACATTGCATACCATGTCACAATAATTTTAAAAAGAATATAAATGGAAGTAAAGTTACAAAATCACACCTCCTTGGACGCAGCCTGATCATTTCTGTCGCCAGGTTTAGCGGACTGTTGTTTAGATGTTCCATCACCATCAAGTGTCATCGAAGCCATACCATGGCTCACATCATTGCTCTCCTCCATACTAAAGTCGGCATTTATTGAAGCATTCGCGGTTGCCAGTTTGTAATCTTCCAAGCCTTTTTGCTGTAATTTATCGAGGTTCTGTTGTTTCAACCATTTAAGTGCTTTGATAAATAATAAAAAAAAAATCAAAGCAAATCAAAGTGTAAACACAAAACTAAAGAATTTTGGATAAATATTTTTGATTTTAAAACTAGTGATAGAAGCATTACCAAAAAATATACATAAAATACTAAAATAATCTAGATGAAGTTAATTATAGTGTACTTTTTTTTTTAATAAATAACACATAATAAGAATATAAAAATAATGATATAACTAAGAATATTTACAAATATTTGAGTATAATAAAAATTTACAATAAAAATTTTCGAAAAATATATACATTCATTTATGTGATATCTACAAAATAAATAAAAAAAAAAGAAAAAAGATGTTAAAAGAATGTGCACTCGGCTAAAACATAATTTCAATAATTTAGTTGATGGTTCATGCATTCTATGCTTTGCCAATGTATGCCAATGATTGTACGAATTAAAAGGCGTGGATGACCATAGCAATAATGCGCTCATATAAGTAGTAAAAACCTCATTTTCCGATGTCTCAGTGGCCAGACGAGTTGTGTCCATGTCACCAGATGTCGATGGAGGGCTCATCTCAGGCTTGTTATTCTTTTTGTTAGATTTAGGGCGACGACCTACAAATATAAACAATAATTATTACCACAGATTTTTACAAGCTAACATTCAATAATACATATAAAGTTTCATAAGTTTAAATTCTTACATAACTAGTCTACAATGAAGACCTTAATATTTAATTGGTAAACAATAATTTGTGCTTACCAGAAGCTGTTCTATATTTTAAGAAACCATCTTTAGTTCCATTGAGATAATACTGAACGGCCTGTTTCAGTTTAGCAGCACGGAGATCATTAAGATCACCAAATATTTCAATGCAGGCAGCATCTACATCCGCTGAAGGTAATTCCCGAACAAACTGACAAATGGCTTTGATAAGTGTTTCCGGTGGAACTTGTTGCTGTAGATAAAGATAGAACTTTAATATCAATGAAGATAATTTTTTTATGCAACATATGACTTAAAACTATAAATTCTAAATTGCATTAGTAAATGAGGAAGTGGATAGTTTATACACTGCAATTAGGTATCAAATTGTTTTGTTTAAAAATTCTAGCATGTATTAAAAAAAAATCAAACTTGTCTCCATACCTTCTTTTGGGAGATACCCAAACGTTTATAAAAATCTTGAAGGCTCTGCTCAGATAAAATGGTGCCTCCAAGTAAAGCTGCCATAAGACACAATCTGTCCTGTGGTACATCTAAAACCTTTGGCAATTCATGCACCATATACTCTTTTGTTTCCAATGATGACTAAAAATAGATAAAATATTATAACACCATGTATTTCTTTTAGCTTTTATATGTAAGTACAATGTTAAACATACCCTATATGTAAGCTTCAGTTGGGATGAACTAAAATATCTTGGTGGTTGAAAAACTAAATATTCACCAGAACAACCTACAAGACCGGCATAGGTTTTCTCTCTGCATAGACCAACTACCTCTTGACAATGGTCATCTGAAGACACCATCTAGAGATGAATATAAGATTTAAAATACATACTTGTAATTTTCTACATTCTACATTAAAACAGTGCAGTTAATTTACATATTTTTGATATCACTTAAAAAAAAAGAATTAAATAGATTTAGCAGAATCTCATTAGCTTCATAGCAAATTTAGAGAGATAGGAAGTCGAAAACATATTTATATATATAACATAAATTTGATTGTAAAGATAACTCACAACAGGTATATTAAGATATCGTAGAGCAGTCCTGAGGCATGAGTGGAGCCCAGTTGGGGGGACCCACCAAACTTTAGGAGGAGGTGTTCCCTTTGTGACTATATGCCGCAATACCTGAACAAACATTTATATTCACAATCTATAACTAGGATTATAGGTATATTAAATAATCAAATAATAATTATCTAAAAGTAAATATGGCAACATATTCTAAGGTAAATATTTCAATTTCTTTGTTTTAAATTTGTAAATAAAACAAAAATTTATATATAGCTAAAATAAAAAATTGACAGAACTATATCACATATTGTAATGTACTTAAACAACAGGTAATTCAGTGGTGTTATACAACCACTTGGTACCTGTGCTGCAATGTTATCTAATATCTAATTCTAAAAAAATTAAGATAACAAAAATACATACAGAGTTAACCCTCTGCCTATATGTGCTCTGTGTTTGGATCCATTGCTGCGGTACTGCTGGTGGGGTGGGATGTGATCCATTAAAACATACACACAGAGCCACCTGATGTTCTGCAAGAGCTTGGGATAATGTTGTCAAAAACTGCACGCATCTTGCCCACTGACCCCCACAAGCCCAATCTAAAAGAATAAGTTTTTTTTTCTCATTTTTCACATGACTTAAATACGCGGCAATAAAAATACATGATATGTCACAACATTACAGTCCAATAGCATACCTGAAAAGTACCCTCCGTAAAGACGATCTAGGCATCCTTCTGCGTCAAGAACTAATCGAAAACCACCAGCATGATTTCTAGCGATTCTAAATAAATCGACACCTACACCTTCATTTTCTAAAAATGTTTGTAGGTCTTGTATGCCCATGATTGTAGGAAAAATTCAATATCTAACAATTCGATCGAACACGTTCGTCTCGACTAATTGGTCTGAAATCAATGCAAAAACATTTATATTTTAAGTTGTTTGAAGTCAATCACGCTAGAAATACTGCCGCACGATGACTGTAAAATTACAAGGAACTAAAAGGAATATATATTATTGCAAAAACATAGCAAAAAATAGACATTATAACCGGCACGTTTCTTAGAGGAAATTGGAGTACAGATCGAGTCGAAAAGCTAATTTTGAACAATATGTAAAACTGTCTTGTTTCGATCTACGGATTAAGCAAATTTAAAGAGTTACGAACCTCGATTCAAAAAACCATGCCAAGAGTAAATTACGGCAGCCGAAACTTGGAAACGGAAGCCATTTGTAATTTTGTAATTTTATGAACCTTCCTTGATCTTTAAATAAGCACAGATACAATAAATATTATAGAGTAAAAAAAGATGCAATCTATCGGCTTGACAACTACAAATTCAACCCAATTTTACTAACAAAACTTGAACAAAATAAGTGCATTTCGTATTGGAAAATTATTAATTAAATTGTTAGACCGTTGTTAGTTGTTAACAGTGGATAACAAAGGTGCTATAAATTCTTATTTGAGAATTTTTAGTCTGAGTTTTTAGGTGTTTTGCAGAGGTATTTTGAGAACTTTAAGCAACTTTTGAGTAGTTTTTGAGTTTGACAAATCGTTCCCGGCATCGTATTCGATTCGTTTCATATTCGGTTTCTACCAGTTTCTGCTATTCGCCGATTCGCCACTGTGTGTCATAGTTTTGTGTTGGTTTGGTTGGGCGTTGTAAACCTAAAGAAATCAAATAATGTGCATTTATTTTATCATTACGTTTTATCGCCGTGCATAGCAACAATAAAAACAAACTTCTATACAACAAAAATTGTAATAAACTCCAAAAATGCTGTAAAACCTTGTTATTATAGTATAGTTCTGTAATCTTGTGGATTGATTTTTCGAAAAGGTTTTCCAAAAATTAGTTATGCCGGAGCAAAGCAATGATTATCGTGTTGTAGTTTTTGGTGCAGGTGGTGTAGGAAAGAGTTCCCTGGTACTACGTTTTGTAAAAGGGACCTTTAGGGAGTCCTACATACCTACAATAGAAGACACTTACAGACAGGTAAGATTTTTCCTTAAATAATCCATTAAGAATATACATTTTGAGTTTGCTAAAGCTGTATTTTGGTTTATCAAATGTGTTTTTTTTAAACGATTGAGTAAGAAACGAGAATTATTGTTACTTAATGATACTTATTCTTTACTTCAATAGATCTCGAAAAACATAACAAATTATTGAATCAAATATAGTGTTGTTCAATGTGATGCAATAATAGGATGCTGTGTCCATCAAAGTCATGTAATATGTTATCCTTTGTTATAGTGTAATTTATGATTGCCAGTCTTGAGATTGTGTTACAGTTGCCAAATATCCTGCTAGACCTTGGCTCTGTTCCAATTAATCACATTTATCCTTTTATATGGACATAAACAATACTTAAAAAAAAATATATTCATAATTCTTTTTTACAGGTTATCAGCAGCAATAAAACAATATGTACATTACAAATAACTGACACTACAGGTTCTCATCAATTTCCTGCCATGCAGAGATTATCTATTAGCAAGGTAATATATCTTATAATTTTCTATTTGACACAATGCCTAAAATAGCAGATGTTTTTGCTATATCAGTGTTCTAAATAAAATAAATCTTTTTTTTAAATACATGTTTATGTACATTTTAATTTATACCATATCATACTGTATTTTATTTGAAAATTTTCAGGGCCATGCATTTATTTTAGTATATTCAGTAAGCAGTCGACAATCACTAGAAGAACTAAAGCCGATATGGCAGACAATAAAAGAAATAAAAGGCACCGAGTTACCAAACATTCCAGTTATGTTGGCAGGCAACAAATGTGACGAGAGTCCAGAGATTAGAGAAGTTTCAGCTGCAGAGGGCCAAGCACAAGCTCAGACATGGGGTGTGTCATTCATGGAAACATCTGCTAAAACTAATCACAATGTTACACAGTTGTTCCAGGTACGACATGTGACATAATATTTATATGAACTTAATTAAATGGTTAACTATCTATCATTTTTTGATATGATTCAAATGTTTATATTTATTGGAGTATATCACAGTAAAAACAGTACTATTAAATCAATAAACTAAGCAAATACAGTAAATTTTGACCTTTTTATTGTAGGAACTTCTAAACATGGAGAAAAATAGAAATGTGTCGCTTCAAGTTGATGGTAAAGGCAAAAAGAAAAAGGACAAGATAGTAAAAGAAGGAGGAGAACCATCGGCCAGTGGCAGAGAGAAGTGTTGTGTTATGTAATACAGAAGATCATTTGAATGTATCAAAGCACACTTTGGTGACAGTTGTGAACTAATAAGTGAGGTATGTATTAATTTTCTTGTCACTTATTATGTTATCAACTGTATTGTTAACACTCTAGTTTTGATTCTAGTCATAAAATTTATCCCGGGAGAAATAATCACGGATTTAATATAATGCATTTAAATAAGTAGTGATAATATCAATATGCCTTAGACTTAATTTTCATTATAAAGGACTATAATGTTCACCTTCATCAAAATGTGTATATTTTGCTAATATTAATATTGTTTTATTTACACTAGTTATCGAATATTGACTGACGCAACATTATATGGATGTGAAATCATTCCATGAATGTTAAAATACAACGAAGAGTCTATAGGACGCTGTTATTCAATTGTACGCTAATTAATATGTATATGTTAAAATGATCTGAATAATTATGCGGCATTCACCTAAATTTTTGCATACTTTTTAATATGAAGTTAAACATACTTGATGCCTAGTTATTTTTACATGAATATCCAACAATAATTATGTAATTTGAAAAGAGTGATTCTGATATTTATTGTTAATAAATTTACCCAATATTCATATAAAAAGTAGTTGTTAAAATAATTGCTAGAATATTTCAGTGCGGTACTGTAAAGTACAATTTTTTTTGTTGCTATTGTTTATTTTTTATACATTGTTCTCTGGTAGTGTCATTGTGAGAAAAGATAATGGATATGTGCCAAATTAGAAAGCAGTTTGTAGCAGTAGATGAAGTAAATCAATAGTTATTATTTGATGAAAACCATAATATACATTTTTAAATGCAAACAAAAATTGTTGATAAATAATATGTCTATTTTGTTGATATACCAATATGTTTGTGTGTATGATGGGACTTGTGTCTTTCATTATAGTATTTATAATTATGTTATATTCAATTATCAATTGATTTTACTGCATAAAATATTTCTTGCTTTAATAATTTAGCATTTAACCGTCTCACAATGACATTACGTTAAAAGGCTTAATATATCGCGGATTTAAATTAGATAAACTATGATTTTATTTAACAATATTAATTATAAGTTTAGTAATTATGTAAATGAGTAGCTGACGCTAGTTTTAATGCACTTTATTTGATATCATTCACTTACATATCCAATTAGTATTGTCCATAGTTTAATAGTTAATCTAGTCAGTCCTTTGTCATTGTCGCGTGAAAATAATAGTGAGGTTGGTTATATTTAATTAGTATGTAGGTAAAGTTTTATGTGCATTAAGTGCTTTGTTATAGAGTATATATTAAAATGCAACAAAACACATTCAGTTATGTTTAAAGTTTAATTTATTGTTTTGTTTGAATTTTGTTTTTAATGAATATATTTTAGCTTATTGGCATTTGTGACCATTTAGAATGTAAAAGATTGAATTAATTGTTAAACATTGAATTGTTATAACTGGACCAATGTTGTTTGATGTTGATCGATGTACTGTTAACTTAGGTTTATTTGTTTTTTTTTTAAATATTGTTTATTATAAAGGTCCTTTTTATGTAAAATGTATCGATGACGTCAGTTCACCCTTTCCTATAGGGTATGTTTGCAAGAAGTTGTTCTTTTGACCAAAGATATATTATAATTCCATTAAAAAGTTATAAGTGTTCTGCTTACGTCATCGATATTCTTATTGTCTGTATCTGTTGTTGAGTGATATCATCGAATATTGTACTAGAATAATAGTTTACATGCATCCGGTGAATTTGAAAAGATTTAAGAATATAAACATTATGCATAGATTTAAATATATAGATCACTTACTTGTTTTCTGAGACCAAAATCCCCATTTAAAACATAATGCTACCTGTTTTGTAAAAGATAATGACAGGGATGGTGATATGTTTTGTACAGAGATGTTAGTCTCAGAAACGTATGGTTACTTCCAGATAAAATTACAAAATTGAAAACCCAATTATTATAAGCTAATGTTTGCCTAGGCATTATGATATAATACATTCTAATATACTATGAAGGCTTGATTCGATTATTCTCAATGTTTACATGTTTATAAACTTTTGTGTATCTTGTCAGTTCACCTAAGGTTAGAGTTAACTATGCTGGCCCAGTGCGGGTCATTTCTTCTCATACATGTGTAAACCTCTACCATAAAAATGTCAGATAAATGTAATTTGTTATGTTTTTTGTATTAAGGATCTATATATTTAAATCTTTGTCCACACACGCAATGCCTTAGTGAGCTTACTAGAGTCAATAAAATGTTTTTTCTTGTTCAATTGTAATAACGATTGTTAATTTTGACGATTTATATTATCCAGTATTGATAAAAGGTGCCTTAGGCTACCAAATGAGACACCAATGTATGTTTTCTTGGATGTCTATTAGCAAATAAGGTGATAGATTGAAATAAAGGGGCAATTTCACTTTTTTAACTATTTTTTTTTTTCGTTCTAAACTTTTTGTTGTTGTTTTTTTCATACATAGGTCGCGTGCACGTTTGCCTTATACGATTTATCTAACGCTTGTAGATAATATGTTATGGATCAAGTGATTATTAGGTATTTAGTAATAAAATAAGACCTAAAAGTATATATATATATATTTAAAATAAATATATAAATATCATTAGCTACACATACAAATACATAATTATAAAGATGACAATAAAATATTTCTAATTACTGGAAAGATATGAAAAAAGTATTTGACATGGTTTTTTTTTGTAAAACAATTAGCAGATTTTTTTGTAAATTTACTAATATTTCTTTTACCATTCCAACTAAGCTTTAGGCTTGGCTAGGATATGGTTTACGACAATAGTCCAATGGTGGGATTCGAACCCCCGACCTCGTATTTGGAAATCCTTACCCTTAACCATTAGGCTATTGACGCTGAAATGTGAATTGATACTGGATTGGTAATTGATTGAATTGTGCAAGTTTTGTAAGAAAAATGTCAGATTTATTAAGTTTCATTTAGTTGTGATAAATCTTAGGCTATTTACTCTCGAATTGGTTAATTGTTACTAAGGGGGACTTTAAGTGTAGTATCAGTATTAATAATTTACACAAAGGGGCAGCTAGTCTAAACTGAGAGCTAATGTAAATCTAGTGATTGATTTTAATTTGCATAGAAAATAATAATCTCCTTTTTGCTTTATAATTTTTAAGTTCATGCATTAGTATAATCCATTGAACTCCATAAATGGATAAGTCATTGCTTGGATATGGAAGTTTTCCCTTCCTTTTCTGTTACTTCGTTCCGACTTAAATGCACCTATCGGTTTTACTGACAGGTAATTAGATATTCTAAATTTGAATTCTAATTACCGTTACCGTAAGCGCCAAAATGGCGGCATTCAAATTGACACAAAATATTACAGCTTATAACTTATCCATTTATAAAGGTCAGTGATTCCATGTGATTCTTTTTACAGTCGGTTTGGTCCATAACATATTTTAAAATAAACATTACTACTAATACATTTATTTTTAATATATTTTATTGTTTATTTTTAATTACTGTCACTTATTTTTTAGTCGCTAAAAGTATACATCTAAAAATGCTAAAGCAAAGTCTATATGAAAATCGCACCGAACTCGGTGCGATTTTCATATAGACATACAATTCAAGGATATTTTTTTTAATATTTAAAAATGTCAATCAAATGGTGCAGAATACTATATCTTTCCTTTCAGTCTTGACATCCATTTAAGGTTGTGAAGCTTTTGCTATTATTTCGCATCTTACTTGACTAGTATGAAAAAAGATTACTTACAGAAGTTATAAATACAATATAATATCATTTTCTACTCATTTTAAAAACTATTTCACTTACATATATTATATTGCGTTTTTGTCTTATAATTCGAAATTAATATCTGGTTCTAAACTTCATTTCTTCAAGTCGAGCAATATTTTTATATGGCTTTTGTATAGAAATGGATAAAGTAAAACAAACATCGAATAGATATTTAAAAGAGGGAAAATGCATTAAAGATGGGATTGTTAGAGTTTAAATATAAAAATTTAGATTGCATAGAATGTACTTAGACGCTCTTGGATGTAGGCGGTAACTTGAAAAAATTGGAATATTAATAATTTAGCTGGTGCATTTAATATAACAATCTACTTTCAAATACAAATTAAAAAAAAAAGTGTCAACACACTAAAAATGCAATAATATAGTTGAATAGTCGATTATTATCCTATATTCAATAAAATTAAGGTTATCCCGTGTGATGCTCTTAAATTTAATAGCACGCCATCTTCAAATTTTATTAATAATAATAATAAAACATTTCAATAAATGCTTTATTACCACTGGTAATAAATAACGCGAACACATTTTAGTGTAATTCTTGTAATATTTATTAATAGCTTGTATTTACTTGGTTGTATAAAAAATTCGAGCTAAATTAATAAGAAATACCTCAATCATTTTTTATCATCGCCTTAGGTAATATAAGCTAAGCTATTTGACATAATTTACTGTAGCACTTTAATATATTTTTACTTAATATGGATATAAAATTGTCAGGAAAGTTATAAAAAATATATTAGGTACGCAAATGGTAGAATTTCCATCAGTCTGATTTATTGGTGATAAAAAATCTTTGCCAGGAAATAGTGGGAAGAATAATATGTATGAACATCTTATTATGTATTTCTATAACATATATTACCCGTGCACGATAACATGAGAACTCAGTCTGATGACGTCAAACGCGACGACGCGTATATTGCTTCTCATATTGATCCTTAATTTGTACACTTGCAACATCATCTAACAAATAATAAATATTTTTACCTAAGAGATAATGTAAGTGCTTATGTTATTGTGGACGGGTAATTCTTTGTTTCTCTCTTCAATAAATCTCGTCTATTTATTCTAATTACTTTAATAACTCAACAAGTGTAATTTACGAGAAAATACTGTGCGACATTGCAAAAATGTTTCGACCAATAGCACTTTAGATTGTAAGCGTTGGGTTTAAGGTTAGATTTTGCTTAAGATAGATACTTGTAATATTTTTTATTATAATAACGCTTCTTACATTTGAACTGATTACTCCAATTCTTATATTTTATAATTTGTCTTAAAACACTTCTTACTAAAGCATCACAAATAAAAAAAATGAAATAACTTAGTCTTTTTATTAATTATAAAAAAAAGTACATTTCATTCCTTAGTCATATTATTTTTGGATTAGTTGATTAAAAAACAAAGGTCAGAATAAATTAACAAAATAATTATGTGTAATTAAGTAGGACAAAAGTGAGCCTTGAATTCTAATGCATTCATTTATTTGAGATAAGAATAACATTGTACACTTTGAATTGATAGAACACATTACTATTAAATACAATTTGTACACAATAACACACATATTTAAGGTATATATTATTGTGTACACATTGTATACAAAATAATCATCAACTGGTCAAAGTTAAAATATTTGTGTATAAAACGTATATCACAGTTACAAAAGTTCTATATTTACAAAGTACAAATATTATAATTATAAACAATACTGAATATTTTACAAAAAGATAAACATACATACATGATTTCATCTTAATTCTGCAAATTAAATACTTAATAAGAAAGACACTTGATTTTTAAAGAAATATGGTTGCATACCACAAATAAAATCCCTGGTTAATACCTTACTGAAATTAATGGCATATACCACATTTTGTGCTTTGCACCACCTACATCCAATATTTTTGTAACTCACAACTAGATACCTAATATCATGGTTAAAAGTAAATAAGTGATGATTTTTTCCATCAACTGATAAAGTTAAGTCTTACACAATGCCTATAACCTAGAGGGGTAGGCAGAGACCACAGACCTCCATTAGGCGTGGGTAAACGAATCTCCGCAATCCACTTTTCACTCTTAAGGGAAACGGAACATGACTGGTGGTGAGATACATTAAGTCTTATAATGGCACATACAATTAATTTAACTTTTGTGAAGCAATATAAATGAAAAAACAGATACACTCACATAGTTATACTATTGTTAACATCAACTAGTTTCAAGTTATAACCAGATTAAAATGCTTACAACACTAAGCATCACCGCTACCATCTGTTCCCTTGTTATTCCTTCGTCTAATGTTATTTTTCTTAACATTGTTTTCAATAGGTAACATATTATTACTAAGCCATTCTTTTTGTAAACTAGGTAATCTTCCAGTACTAGCAGATCTTTTTAATGTTGAATTGCCTGATTTCATTTGCAATTTAGTATTGCCATTATGTGAAACTCCACTGTGTTGTGTTGAAAGAGCTCGTGAACAAATATCTAACAATCTATCCAGTCTTGGTCCACTTATTCTATCGCCATCATCAATTTTTAATGTTTCTTCATTAGTTTTTATAAAGGACCTATTCCGTGACTTCAACCCTATGTTTATTAATCCCAGAAAACTTAGATTAAATGGTATATTAAGTATATAATTAAATATTACCATTATCAAGAGGAATATTAATAATGTGTTGAAGATAATTATCAACAAGCCAAACATTATTTTATCCAATGGAAACCATAGACCATCTGAAAAATAAAAAAATCATGAATATCAACAAAGACGATTACTCTGGTAGCTGATATCTGTTTCATAAAATAAAATGATAGTCATAGTGTAACCAAAAAGTTTCACTATAACTGCAATAATTTCATTTCTGTAGGTTATTAGAGCTTAGAGTGCAATTTTCCCTGGCATCCTAAGTGTATACCAAAGTTACAATTTATCTAATGGCTTAGAAATGCACAGTGCATAAACATAAAAACATAAATTTTTATGTATGTTGATAAGATAGACAAATTCTTAATCCATAGGTCTGAATATAAGTCATGATGATAATTAGATCTTTTGAAATTTACCTGTAATACCATGAATCATTATTTTAATGGTGTCACTTATTATTAACATTGGTTCAGAGATCAATGTGGTAAATATTCTAATTCCAATCTTCAAAGGATTCATATGTTTCAAGAATATTAGTGGATCAGGTGGTGGCACATCACACTCTGATGACCAGAAGATCCATTTGCATTTATTAATAGCAGATAGGAATCGTTCCAAATCTTGCTTCTCCGCTTCCTATAAACAAAGAAGTATTTACTTACAATATTTTTAGATATGCCCAGTGAATAAAAGAGATACATTATGTAAATTTAAAAAAAAAATCTTCACATTCATTTAGCCTTTTACATTATTAAATGGCTAGACTTAATACGTAAATTAAAAAACTTCAAGAACAGATAATAATGGTTATTTCAAATAGTTAATCAAACAGCAAGAGTAAGGATTATTTACATACCTTATAAGATACAAATACTTCATATAAATAGAGTGTAGCAAATAAAATAATCATCATATGTTGATGTGACATCCTTTTTAGAAGCCAAATCATTGCAAGTTTGACGGACAACAATCCAAGAACCCAAGTTATTTCCACCTGCAAAAACATTCATAATTTAGAGACATTTCTTTACTTTCCTGTAATTTTGGTTATTTGGGATGGATAGATGTTTGTTTGAAGGTATCTTTAGAACAGCTAAAATTATCTTGATGAAGTATTAGCATACATATAGCACATAGACTGGAAGATACACATAAGTTTCTTATTATTTCTTCTTTAATTCTGCATGGACAGAGTCGCAACTCTATAACTAGCTAGTTATTAGATAACAAGAAATATTATATGATTTAAAGAAAGCTATACTTACTTTATATTGACTTAAATAAATTTGTATATACTCATTCCATGCCATCACAACCTTTTCTGTTATGGACGGTTTGTAAATTGAATTTTCTATATATCCTATTGTGCGTCTAAAGTTATCTTCAGTCAGTTGCGTGTCTGACATTGTGTATTGGTTTAATAAAGCCCATTGTTCATCATTAAACTTCATTTGCAAAGCTACATCTACTGTGTTATCTTCATTTTCCTATAAATGAAGTTGAAATTGCTTGTAATGATGGTGTTGATTGAAGAGATCATAAATAAGATTATTTTCCAGACTGTTAATTACCACTTAGTTGGATGTTAAGATATTTACATAGCCAAATGTGCATTGCGTTATCCTTTATCGCCATTGGATTATTCAATGACAATTAAGTTGAGTATGTAATATTCAATAGAAAAATTATCAAACCTTGACTTGACCACCTTTTAAAACTATGACTAGCATACGTTTGAAAAACCATTCGCTCATTCCAACGTTGTTTTCTGTATTTACGATTTTCTTCGGAACATGTCGAAGATCTGGAGGTATATTCTCTGAAAGTTGTGGGGGCAAATGATGACTTTCATAGTCCCACGGATCCGGCCCCTTTTGTGTAACGCAGCTGTTAAATTTCAAACAATACAGTAAACCATAGAACCAAATGTTCTTCATTTGGAATGTTCGGATATTAAAGAAATTAATAAAAATCACGATGAAGCCAATTCAAATTGATATAAATAAAGGTAACTTGTAAAAATATTAAATTTCTTATAACTAAACTATCACAAGTTGATTTTTTGTGTCTTATTGTTATTCAAATTATACATATTTTGTCCGTTTGAAATCGAACCAGGTGTTAACGTCATTGTCAACTACTGTCAACTGCACAGAGTAGAGTATTTATGTATGGTCAAGTCTCAACCCACTTCAACACTTTGCACTTCAACCTCAACTTCATAATTTTTTTGATGAAAAATAAAAATACGTACAAATATGAAGTAGAACGTCCTTTTTTAAGTTTAAAAAAGCTTAATTGTTTCGAAATATCTCAGATAGTGAGTGGTATAAGAAGTGCTTACAAGGCAGGGTGATTGACGACGAGTTAGTTGAGTCCACCTATATTCTAAACTCTCTCTTCTAAACTCTAATTTTATATACTCTTTGTTCTAACCCTTGAACTTAAATAGGTGGACTAACCCGTAAACCAAAAATTAATTAACTATATATTTCTAACATAATGGTCAATTCTCATGATTCTGTTATTAAAATTGTTTTAATGTAATTAGACCTTAATGAATAATGTCACTAAAGAGATTTACATCTCGTCGTCATCTGTCTTACCAGTGACATGACATTGACATTTGACACATTTATTGGTTTTTGGTTTCAACAATTTCAGTGGTTTCAAATTCAAGCATTTAAAGCAATTGAATGAAATTGGTGTCATTTCGTTTAGTTTCTGTTTTTGATGTTATTTCTTATAATTAAATAACCAATATCGAAAAGTGTTCATTGTAATTTATCTCCTAAATAAAATAAAAATGACTTCTATAGATCTCGATCCTTCCATTAAACTTTGTCTGAAATATTTGCATTCAAGTGCGCCAGATTCAACAGAACAGCTTAGATTAACCTTTGATGATGTCCTCACACAAATTTACGGCAGCTCAAAAACACTTGGTAACGTGTTACCTAAGAAATATTTGGCTGAAGAGAAAATGGAATCAACATCACGATCGAAGCATAAGAGTGATAAATCTAGAACGGTTCCTATACCTCACCAAAGTCCACAACAGATTCAAATACCAGAACGCGAAGATGATGACAGTTCCGTAATGGATGGGGAATTAGCATTTAATCTCTTGGAAGAGGACTTAACTTGCGCTGTATGTAGGCAGATTGCAGTACAGGCTGGTAACCGTTTAGTTGAGTGTGATGCTTGCCATGCCCTCTACCATCAGGTGAGCATAATTAAATCATATCCAATTCATAGTTGTTGTTGTTGCAATACAATATGTAGAGAACTATTGAAGATAAAAATTATTAAAAAGTAACATCATAATTTACATACTAATGGCACATTATTCAAATTTTTGGTACCCCATTATGCCTATTATGTTTATTACTTACCAGTAAAAAGATTTGCTTATTGACTTGTAGTCATTTCTCCACTCTAAAATGTTTTATTTAACAGAACAATAATAAATTTTATATTCTATATTTGCAGGATTGTCACAAGCCAGTGATAAGCGACAATGATATGGGAACAGGATGGCAATGTGCATCATGTCTTTCATCCCAAGGGTTTGCTGCGGGATATTCTAGCAAGACATCATCTTCTTCTAAATCACCTTCCCATGCTTCTGGATCCACTACCCCAGTCAAGATATCCTCGAGCAGCTCTGCATCATCATCACCATCCAAGATGGTTACACCTAACATAAATATCATCACTGCTGACAAGAGGTTGCAGATTATGAAGAAGAAAGCAGCAAAACAACATGAAAAAAAGAAATCAAAGAATTAGTAAATAAATAAGTTCTATGTATTGATAATAAATAAATTAAATAAATGCATAAACAAATTTTTATTTATTTTTAACATAATCATTTAAGTTCCTGTGTCCTCATAAATAAAAATACATATAAAAACATTTGCCTTTTTATATACTTTAAAAAAACTTGAGTAATCATTTAATTTTCCTGTCCCTGCACTATAATGAAATAGTATAATATTCATCATCATCAGCTCACTATACGTCCACACCGCGGGGCTCGGAGCCTGCCCTAAGTTAAGGTTAAGCAGAATCTTACATCAAAGTAATATTATAAATGCGAACATGGATAGATGGATGTTTGTTAGAAGGTACATATCTCCAGAATAGCATGGATGTTGCTGGAATTTGGCATAGATGTGCCTCGAAGAACACATAGACTACTAAGGTTCTTTTATTCCGCGCAGATGGAGTCGCGGCGATAGTAGTAGTATAATTGATAGAAAATAATTTCTCGTCTCAATATGAACAAATCCTGCGATTATCGCATCTCGAACACAAAGAACACATTATAATTCGTCCGATTTAAATTGAGACAAAGTTAAACGGTGAGTTTTGAATTATACTTATAAAAACAAAATCAAGCACGGTGATAGAAATTAAGTGGGTGATGCCCGGCCTCAGAAGACGCTTGCAGAAAAGGTGTTGCTTTGAATGAAGTGTCGGCTTGTTAATAAGTAAGAGGGTTGGATGGGAAGGATATGAAAAAGGGAAAGGAGTTGCTCTGGTGAATTTACTCGCTAATGTACATATTCTTCAAGAAAAGACTTCGATGACCCGCAATAATAGTAGAGTAAAAATAGCGATAACAAGCCTAGCTTAATCGGTGTTACTAGAATTTGTATAAGATTGATAGTTAACAAATAAATGTTATTAGATCATATTCAATCATTGTCACAATCAGGAAAGAAACGCGATTACGATTAGAAATATCCGAAGTGACACCCAGCAGATAAATTGATTTAAAAACACTTTTCAAATTCAAAAATATCAAAACGTATAGATATTCACTTTCCTAATAAAACATTTTCTCTGTCGTCTATTTTACAGATTTAAAAGCTTTGCGAAATACACTTTAAATAGATATACGTTGCGTACACATACAAAGTATACATGTATTGTTTGTTTTATTGAAACAGGAGCTAAGAACATCTAGCAAGATATTTTCTGTATATTGTAACCAATCGGAATAGTGGTCGTTTGCGATTGGGTGATAGCTCCTGTGGGCGGACAGGGATACGGGATGCTGGGGAATGTTTCGCTCGATCGGCAACTTTGACTCTATTTCTTAGAGCTTTCGGTTTATGTTCAAGTTTTATAATGATACAGAACAAGGGATATTGTAACGCCTATCAGCTTAGTTTTTCATGTAGTTAGAATCACTCGACTTTTTCATCGGTATTAGTTTCAAGGCGGAGTGTTGTGTGGGCGGCTGAAAGTTGTTATTGAATTGAAATATTTAAAAGGACATTTACGTTGCAATTTATGTGGATCTTCCAATTGTAAAGACTGTGTGTTTTGTATGTGATAACGTCGATAATTCAAAAGTGAGTCATATAGTTTTACATCTTTTATATTTATGGCATAAGCAATATTGCTAAAAGTAGAAGATTTCATTTGCACTATATTTATCTACCTAATTGCAAAGGCAAACAAGCGCGCTAGTTTTTTGGTGATAAGTTTATGTTGTAGGTTAAGATCACTTCTAATTCTGTAGCTGATATAAAAGTTAAGCAATATACTTTGGTGAATAATGTAAGTCGCTCGGCGATTAAAATATTTCAGATTCTATCCCCGTATCCTTTAATTCTACAAACCTCTTCTTCTATGGTTGTCCAAAAGTTTGTGCCGGGTTCTTAAAAAAACGTGCCATGTCCTATGGCGTATAAAACTGATGAAAATTAACGAATCGTAATCAAACAATTTTACAAATACAGAAAGTTTTCCTTTTTAGAATGGGCATGTCATGTTTTTTTTGTTTAATAAATATTCTGGTGTCTTACCGCTAACTTTCGAACATCGGCACGAACTTATAGGACAACCTTTTTTTCTTAATTATCTAGCGACCCCAACCTAACCCTTTGACTAATTCGATTGAGTTTTCATATATACACTCAATCGAATTCAGTCAGTCGATATCACATGAATTATTTTCTACTTACTACTATTAAAAAATTAATAACCTATGCCCGTTCTCAGGTGACCTCTGGTGTCCCTGGACATACTTTGGGCCATACGAGGTAAGATAAAGGATGATGAACAGCAGCAGAGCGCGGGTACCAAAGTGTGCTCGGTGCAGGAACCACGGCCTCATCTCCAGTCTGCGAGGCCACAAAAAGGCTTGCGCGTATCGCCACTGCCAGTGTCCCAAGTGCGGCCTGATCAAAGAGAGACAGCGGATTATGGCTGCACAGGTAAATCATCGCCAAATGACTAAAAAAATCAATAATGTATAATCGTAAAATCAATAACTATAACTCTCAGTTACCACAAGATTTCTTTATCTTATATATTCTGCATCCAAATTATTTTGCTTTGAAAAAAATAAAATAGAAGTAGCAATACGTTTTTGTACAGGACTTTGATGTGGAAGCTATATACCTACACATAAATGTGGCAGTTCTTAACTAATTAGACTTAGGGATGACGATATCAAAAACCATAGGTTAGACGGAGTTTTTAGAGATTTCCATTATATTTCCTTTAAAATCGTGATTGATAACTTTATCTTGTTTTACAGCAAGGAAAGTTAAATTTGATAACTTTGTCTCATAGCATCACCCAGTGTCTTTGTCTCAAACAAAGATATTATAAAAGTTTTCTTCTTTTGGTTTTCGACTTCAAAAAGGTTAACTGTATTCGGATTCAAATTTAGATTGAATGTTTATAGGTAACATCGATATTCATAGCATCAGGTGTACGGTTCGTTTCCGTTCTTCTCTTATGAACCGAAAAAAAAAACAATAGTTCGAAATTCGAATAATTTGGAACCAATACTTCTTCCTATTACAGAAATAACATGCAATGTAAAGGCGTTAATGTGTTTTAATGTAGTGAAATCGAGACCGGCTAATGCGTTCAGTTTATTTGAACAAGTGGCACGTGTTTACCGCAGACGCCGGATGAAACATCGATCGGTTTGTACAGTAATGCATCGTTCATCGTTCCCGCTCTCCGGTCTCGATGTCCCACCACTTTCATCCCGAGGAAGCGCCGATCCATTCATTTTCATATACTCTTCAACTCAATATCGAATTACACGTGTAAACTTTAAAGCTAATTTCAAAGATCATTTGTTTTTTTCAAAACATATGTTTGATTTTAAGTTAGGTTAGATTTGTTGTTTTAAGTTAAAACGTTCTATTTTTGTAATAGAAATTCGTTGATTCAGTTATCTATATATTAATATAATAAGTTTTTAAAATAACTTTTAAAGTTACATAATACTTATGCAACTTCTAACCGCAAATTCTTTACATTTATAAAAACATTTACAGAAAAAGTTTTAGAACAAAACATATTGGTATTCTGTCCAAGAACAGTTGTTATTTGATTAGAGTTGGGATCGAGTTTTATTTATTTTGTCAATTAGGCAACGCCGGCGCGAGCCCCGGGCTCCAGGCTCCCCGGGGTGACCGCTTACCGCAAACACAAATATTGCCTGTTTGTCATTGATTTTCCGCTAAATTAGTTTATCTAGATCAAATTACCTATCACTCACTGTCCGGTGTAATAGAACTTTTAGGGATCATTTTTGATTTTATCTCAGAACGTTCAAAATTGTCTTGAAAATTTTCTCTGCGAGAATTTAAGTCACGTTTATTGATGTAGGCATACTTTTTCGCAACAAGAATTTTGCCGACTATTTCTGATTCTAATTTTACGATTAGATTTTTCTTCGACATCTTCGTCAATTCTTATTTAAATTTTGCAGACGAGTGAGTTTCCACCGCTGATATTAGATAAAAATATATTGTTATCCCTCGTAACATTTTTTGTAGGGATTTTCGGCACTAGGAGAGTACGGTTATTCATTAATTATCACATTAGTTGCTATAATGACAATGGTTGCTGCATATGCCCAGCTTATTTCGCAGCCTTTCTCTATAAAAAAGTTTATATACAAAGCACTTTACCAGGTAGCTCTGAAGAGACAGCAGGCGGCAGAAGATAAAATAGCCTTGCATCTTGCGTCAGTGGACAGCGGAACAGCGTTGGAGACATTACCACCGGGGCGAATCTACGGCATGCGAGTCACCGGCCCCTGCCCAAGTCCTGGACCTGAGCCAGACTCCGTACATGAAGATCAAACTGTGAGTTACAGAATTATTACTATGGCGATAACATTTGTATGATTTACTTTCGCCCGCGGCTCCGTTCGCGCGGAATTAAAAATAAACAAAACTAGTAACCTATGTGATCTTCCAGAGTATGTTCTACATGTATGCCAAATTTCATATCGTTCATCCGTTCTAGAGATACTTTAAAACAAACGAAGATCCATCCATTTAAACATTTGCAATTATAATATTAGTAAGATTATAATGAAAACACAATTCATCAAAATTGGCCGCAGCCCATTCACATTGACAGCGAGACAAGCGACTCTCTGCCAGACTGCGCGTCTCCTGACTCCGCCGGCAGTGCCCTAACATCTAGACCACGGTAATTACTGTTGTTAAAAAGAAATCGTAGTTGAAATAAGATTATATGCTTACAATGCTCTTGATTCCGGGATAATGGTCATCGCATGGCAAAGGCAATAATTAATTCGCGTAATTCAATACTGTTAGATTGCTACAAATTCTGTGTTGATGCCTAATTGGTTTTTTATTTTAGTGTCCAAAATGAAGATACAATTGAAAATGAGGGAACAGTCAGTACGGCGGGTATAGAGATGCTGAGGAAGTTGTTCCCGGGAAAAAAGCGATCTGTATTAGAATTAGTTCTGCGACGTTGCAATCACGACTTGCTCCGGGCTGTTGAGCATTGCAATGCCATTCATGTGAGTAGATTTGTTAAGTTTTTTACTAAAGTTTGTGTCCACTTTTATATAATTACCAAGCGTGAAGTTTTAATGGGTTGATAGTTTCATCAAACAATAATTTAAATACTAATAATGGACAAAATATTGGAAAGTGAGGAACCTATTTTCCTCTTTGAGTGGATTACGATGCACCTAATTTTCTCGCAATTTATTCAAACATTCGAAAACATAATAAGTATAATTTTCTTAGGGCCATCAGGAGAAGATCGCATCACCCAGCGCTGGATCCAGTACCAGTTTCGAAACGTCAGTATCAAGTTCGGAGGAAGTTGAATCTAGATGGTCCGCGTTCCGTCCCGTCGGTCCCCGGGCACCTTTACTGCCAGCTCTAGTGATGGGTCGAGTATGCGGTTCCGATTGGTTGGTGCCGTTACCAGCGTTGCCAGCTCTTAGCACTCCGCTATTGTTTCCTTTACAGCATCCTCATGGACCGCAAGCTCCGTGTAACCCATGCTCTCCTGATTGTAGACAATGCAATCGACATTAATATTGGTTACCTTCGCCTTATCACATTATGTACTTTTCTCCCCTTTGTCTTTTAAGTACGTTAGTGTCATGTCTATCTATTAATGTTCTATGTTTTATTAAATACCTTTTATTTGTATATAATTAATATTTTAATGGATAATTATCTCACTTGTGATATTTTAATGCCAAAGAATTTGTTAAAGAACAATCAGTTCATTGCATTAAAAATAATTTGAGTAATATTAAATGGAGTTTAATTATTTCATCATCCTAAATCTTTTTAATTTATTCCGATTTTTAATTCTAGTTCATGAAACGGATTTGATTGGGACGTAAAGGCTGGCGAAATGTCCTCTTTCTGCACGTCCCCTTTTCTAATGTAGGCAAAAATAAAATAAAACACCATTTAAGCAATAGGAAATCAAAATAGTGTACATTAAATCGCGTACTCGGGAAAGTAAATATAAGAAATAGTTAATTAGTTAAGAAAACAGAGCGGGCGTCCCAGCGCACGGCCAGGAGCTATTATCACAGACAGTAACAAATATGAAACAATCCTCTTAAACGAAGATGAAAAGGACACCCACTTATTTATAATATAATAAGTAAACACGGGAAAAGAGGGTTTGAGAACAAATTGACTAATACTGTAAATAAAGTTTTTTCTTCATATTTGAGAGGCGGCTGATGTTCTTATCTTGAAACACTACTTCTATATTTTTCGGAAAATGGATAATAGATTTTTTAGTTATTTTTCTAATAATAATTTTAAAGTCGAGTAGACAAATACAGAGGAAATTTTTAATGTTTTTAGTCTATGCTATGTACCTAAGAAGAAGAAGAAATTCTTTTAAAATGCCAGTGTACAAATATTTGTGTGTTCAAAAACAAAAATCTTTTCAACAGTCACCGATTCAAGTTCAACGTCGTTGTTGAATTTACGTATGAACGTTAATGTGTACAGCTCATTATAATACAATGCATTGTATATAAGGTCACAGTTTTATTCAAATTTAACATATACTGGTGTCTAAAATATAATTCCAACCTAAGAATACGTGTCAGTCCAGTTTTTTTTTTAACTTCTAATAGTGTACAGTTTAATATGATTTGTGTATTTTTAGTTCTATTAATAATATTTTACATGATCTGTGATGTTAATTACTTTGTGCGGACTTTCTTTACGGTTTTCACAAGCAGAATGTTTCGGAATAAAAAATATCCCACACTCAGTGACGTCACAACGGTGTACGGTAAGTTATTATAATAATTGTAAATTATGTTTAATTAAATTAAACATTTAAACTGATAACCTTAATTTGAAAGTATAAGTACTTTATTTTATTTTTGTAGTAGCTGTCGCCCGCGATTCCGTCCACGCGAAATTAAAAAAAAAACCTTAATTTGTAGCCTATGTGTTCTTCCAGACTGTGTTCATATGTATGCCAAATTTCAGCGAGATTCATATAGTCTTTCTAGATATACCTTTAAACAAACATCTATCCATTTAATATGAGTAAGAAGTAAGATGCATTTCCACAATTTGATGATTTTGAAATCGTATATATTTAATACTTTGTCCGATTTTAGGGATGTGTACATTACAAGACTGCGACATTTGGTTTAAGAATTTACGCCTAGCGAAACTTGTACGACAACTGGATTTTGCACGTTACCATTTTTACGTACAAACGGGTATTTATCAACGCAGTTGTATGCTGGATATACATTCGCTTCAGGGATCTACATTGACAGTTACATTGTCGCCTATACCATTGTTCGCAATTTATAAAATCAACACTAAGGTAGGTTCACCTTCAATCGATTTGCCGAAGTGGATACTCCCCGCCGTTTTATCCCAAAACCAGAAAACATTTCGTTCATTTAAAGTTCGAAAAAAATAGGGTTGTGCTAAAATTTTTTTAAACAATAATGATGAAACTAGTGGTAATTTTATTTATTATTAAAGAATTCTAGTAGAGATGATACTAAAAATAAATTATGAGTTCCATTCCTTATTTTATTTACAAACTTTTGTTACAGTTGGTATATTGGGATGATCGTTCCTTGTTTTTCGAACACGAAGTAGTGACTATACGTGATAATGAAGTGCGTTCTCTTCTTGTATCCCGTCAGTTCGCGATAAGAAAAACAGATGCTTCCGCTACCAAACTACTATTGAAAGACTTGCCAGGATCGCACAGCAAACCCATCTGTCCAGAGTATATTAAGAGCTGGTTAAACAGCATGGAAATAAATAGCGCTAAATTAAGGAATACCATCTAAAGATACAATTAAGTGTATATTTAAATTGTAATTAAATCAACGTGTGATGTCATGATATTTATTGGATTGATTTGAATGTTTTATTTTGTGACTTTTGTGCGGATCATTATTTAAATTGCCACTCTTTAGTATGAGTACGTTATTTCTTAAGAGTATCCTTTTTTTTCAGAGGGGAATGCTTTATGCATACTCCGCGCCCCGGGGGGGACGCAGTAGTTATATGGGATTCTCCTCCATAGCGGAGGCATACCCACTAAACCCCTCTGTTCCTCCAACGCATCGGGACGGGACCACGGGCACGCTTTCGCTCTCGTCCGCGGCCTCTTAGGAGTATCCTAGTAAACTAGGCTATGGATCAAATTGCGTTTGTAAATACATATAAACATATTTATAGAGTAACTATGTCATATGTAAAAGTTCCGATGCATTAGTTAAGAGTCGCTTTCGCTTTAGTAGTTTGAAGGTCACACTTGTTATTTGTTCTCAGTTATTGGACTTTAAAATAGTCGTTGGATAATGAACAATTTAATTTTATTTCAAATAATGCAATAATTACTTCCTTATAATTAAGTTTTACGTCGTAAATACATACAAGGCCGGTAAAATTTGCGTAAACAACAAACTTGAAATTTTCAATGCATTGTAAATAAGATTGTGCATGAATCCGCGTCATATTGCGATGCGTTAAAAAACTGAATTTTCAACTCATAAAAAATATTTATGCTTATAATATTTTGTTCTAATCTGTATAACTACTTATCGACAACTAAGTACTATTCGAATTTTGACAGATCGAGGTCATTGACCTACACATTCTCATAACAAACGCACATAGCAAACGTAGTATAAAGCACGTTACTTGATCTATCAATGTAATATTAACATGACGATGCATTCTGTGACTAACTTCTTGACGGTAAACAAGTTCATCGACATTGAGAGAGGACAGCCGGAACGTCATCAAGTCGATTCCGCAGCAAACTAACGCAACCCAATAAAATCAGTTATCAGCTGGACACCATAGAGCGTGTTTTGTTCTTACAATTAAAAGAAAAATGTTTTGTGCTATACTTGTATTAGTTGCACTCGCGTATATATTATGGGATGTTAATTATTTTCTTAGAATCGCGTTTACAATATTAACTGGAAGGTTGTTTCAAAAGAAATGTGGAATCAACGATACAACAACAATTTACGGTAAGTTAACGGTAGTTACCCAGATTATATTCATAGATTCTTATTGTTTATAAATGGCAGAACGGAAATTCTATTTATACCTATATATTTAAACTTGAATGTAGGGTAATTATAATAGTTTAATACTGTCAAGGATTTAGCTCAGCAATCAATTTAATAAAGAATAAAAGATATAAAATTAAAAAATAACTATTATCCAGTCAGGGAAAGGATACCAGTTTAATGAAACACTAGTTAAGATCAGCTCAGTCGTTGACTTACATGTGAACCTTCAATCATAAAAACTTATATACACGCAAAAAATATTGTCTTTTATGAATACGAGACGTACAAAATAGATATTCTTAAATTTCCAGGTTTTTGTACAACACAAGATGTAGATATATTCTTGAAGCACATGAATAACGCTCGCTACGTGCGAGAACTGGACTTTGCCAGGTTCCACTTTTACGATAGAACTGGCATTTACGACAACATCAAGGCAGCCAATGGTCACGCGTTGCAAGGCGCATCTAGTATACGCTACAGGAGGACTATTCCAATATTTTCCTTTTATAAAGTTGAAACTAAGGTAATTGAACGATATATATTTTTGGGTATTTTAATAATTAGTCGGGTGGGCGAAAGACGGATTTGGATTTGAAGGACGCGTGGGCGCATAAGGAGGGGAACTATCCCCTTTCTGTGCGTCCACTCCTCCGTCGATTAAAGGTAGGCAGGGGTCGCTTTGTTACTCCGCGGACGTTTGCCACCTAATACCATATGTAAAAAAAAATGTTAAAATCTAAATTCGCGTTCGCTTTCTGTCTCGCAAACTTTCAATGAAAGTTAATTAGTTTAATGTATACATTCCTTTACAGCTGGTCTATTGGGAGGATAAAACGCTTTTCATCGAACAAAAGTTCATCACGACAAACGACGGGTTCGTCCGTGCTATTGTTTTGTCTCGTCAAAACCTTTTGGACGTGGACGCTGAGAGGTTATTTAAAGGTATACCAGGAGCGGACAGCAAGCCGGAGTGTCCAGAGGAAATACGTCACTGGCTACAATCCATAGAAATATCCAGCGCACGTTTAAGAAAAAAAGATTAAATGAAAACAGCCAGCCCTGTCTTCATCCAAGTAGTATACGTTCTCTCTATGATAGTTTATTCATTTTATTATGATTACTTTGGCAATTCCGTAGGGATGGGTTGGGTAAAATCAGTTATGAAGTTTTTCGATTTTTGATGACTTTTATATAACTTGAAATCGATAACTTTCTGTTTTTTTTGGTTGTGCGATGCAATAGCCAAATAATTTAAATAAATACAAGAAGAAATAAAATATGTAAGTTGTATTGTCTGTGTTATTTTTTACACGATCGATAATCGATAGTTCATCTTTCTTCGTTGTGCACATAATGTCCCTCCCTACAACACATCAATTAAGTATGATATGAAATATCATAAAAATCGATACTTTATAGGCATGAGTTGTCGATCTATCATAAAACGAAGAAACTTCAAACATAGTATATGCAAATTAACTCTCAAGATATCAAAACATTACTCATGAATTTCTACGTCATGTAGTTAAAACTATATAAAAAGTAATTCAGTAGTTTTCCGTTCTTCTCACTCTGGTAGAGAGAAATATGAATTATGCTAATTTTGTTTATAATTCTTTGATTCGGTGATGTTTGTTGATAATGTTAAACGTTAAAAGTGTTCTCGTTTTTTTATTAAGAATAACATTCCCCTAATTAAAAGTGCCACAGATGGTGAAAAAACGACAGCCAGAAAGTATCGTATGTCAGCGGTACACCGACGTTTGTCAGCTTAGTGTGTATAGTCTTACTGTTTACGGAACTTGTTTATCATTAATGCCAAGTTTTTTTTAATGAATATACTATCGCTTGACTATTATGCCACCTGACGCTAAGCCAACTAAAGTCAGTTTTAACTGAACATTTAAACTTTATTACGGATATTCGTGAAAACGTTTTTGTTTTCATCTACAAAATTTTTAATAAAAGTGTAGCAACCCTATTGGGCATAAACTAAACCAATAAATCTCATACTTTTACATATTTTCGTAAATATTCGTGCTAGTCCATCTATATTGAAAACTGATGTGAAACAATAGGTGTTTTTGTGCAGGTGTTTCTGCAGTGGAAACCGACAGTTGACATATGTTTGTGTTGTGAAGGAATGTTTTGAGGTAGGCCGGGAATTAGTTCGGCGCTCGTAAGGGTGGCATGAAATAAGAAAAACGACCACACACGCATTGTACTCTAAATATACACAGATTAAACCATTTTGATACTTCAAAATAATTGTGATTATCAATCGCCATTTAGATAGAATTTATTTTTTTAGTAAATAAAATTTCATTTGTACGACTACTTCTTGTTGCTGGGATAAGATATTTTGAACAGAAATATAGAACATCACGATATTAATGTTAGTTTTTTTTTGGCTAACTTTCTGCTTGGCTTGCTTGTTGCTTTTTAAATGCTTTCGCATGTAAATTAATTTATTACAATTTTGAATTTCCTTTTACAAATAACAATTGTTATTGAACTAAAGAAGTATCTTGATGAGGCGTTCGCAGTAGCAATGGTGGCGCTAACCGACCGCGTGCGTCTTGTCGCGTAACAATAATAAAATATCCATTAGCTGTAGTGTTTTCGGTGATTTTAAAACTGTGTGTTACGTAAATATTTTTGTATGAAAATATTTATTTAACTTTGAACATTTTATTAAACGTTTGAAAAATTTAGTTTACAAAAAAGTTAATAGAATTAAGACTTGTGTTATTCGTTTATATTAAGCAGTAATTCGTTTATATTAAGCAGTAATTATGAATAATCAAAATGTTTTCTATTAGCATATATTTTTAATATACTTTTTTTTTAAATTTGGAATTATTGTAAAAGTTGTTTTTGATTCTCATTTTTTTTATTTTCCATTGCTACTGCATTTTACAAATGGCGGTCGAGTCGTGACTACTGTCATTAAAGTCATAATATTAATGAGTAGATAATAAACATTACCATAAGTCACTATGATATAACACAATGGAGTGGATTACATGTTGTAATCATTTACAATTATTATTATAGTTTTCTTTCAAATTAAAAATTGTGTTCCTTCCACTGTAATTACAGGTTGTTCTTTGAAGCCGTTAATGTCTGTAAACAACTACTATAAATCGCCATCATTTATTTCAATCCTTTTTTGAATACAAAATCATGGTTGTATAAGAATCGTAGTCGTAATTTATAGCGCGGTGGTTCTGTAGGATTTTTTTTAATTCTTGCAAAAGCAAACTTGTGACAGACAAAAGTATATCTTGAAGGGTAGTGTCTCTTTCATTATTCTAACAAAGTTTCAGAAAATATCAACAAGATTGAAGACTGCAAATCAAAATTAAACAATTTCATCTGAACATTGAATTATTTTAAAACTGATTGCCAATTCTACAAAAGCGTTAGAATCCGCGGTTGTTACATCAACCCTAAGCATTTTTATTTGTTTTTCTACACACAAAGGAACTACAAAGAACCTATAATTGTTTTAGTAAATACCAAGGCACAAGCAAGCTATACAAACCCCTCCGTGAATTCAGTATGTTTTATGCTGAAGTCTGCGACACTTTATCCTTATAGTTTGCTATTTGATAATAGTCATGATATTTATAAAATCGATTCTTACTCCAATCGAAATATTACTTCAAACTATTTTGTATCGATATTTTCAATCATCGTACTGTATCGCTTTTGTTTCTAGTGAATTATTCCGATTTGATTATAATAAAACCTTTGTTCATATTGATCCAGAAGGAAGAAATTTAACTAACGATTTGCTGGAAGTTTCCGAAATGGGATGTTTAGATTACATAGTAAGAGTAAATGAACCCAAAGATTTTATACAAAACTTCGATAAAGTAGTTCATTTGGGGAATACTCGAAAAAGTGACAGAAAAATAGTATTTTTACCTGAATCTTATAATATCGATGTAGTTGGGAATTTGATGGAAATTTTAACAATGAAGGAAACAACTTTTATTCCAAATGTTCTGATAGTGGCACCATCTACTAATCAGTCATGCGAATCTTATGATTTGATAACGCACAAATACATCGGATTGTCAAATCACAATGAACCACTCTATTTAGACCTGTGGAGTTCTTGCACCAAACAGTTTACTAAAAATAATAATTTATTCCCTCATGACATGTCAAATATGCACGGAAAAGTGGTCAAGGTGGCTTGTTTTACTTACAAGCCTTATGTTTTGTTAGATTTAAATTCAACACTTGTGCCATTCGGTCGAGATGGAATGGAAATCAGAATTATTGAAGAGTTTTGCCGGTAAGTACAAAACAATTAAATATTTTCATATATTTTTGGGTTGAAGTGAAGATACATATTAACATTCTAGCATAGTCTTAATTTTGGACCCATCGACGCAACGTCTTTACTTTCATCCTAAGCATGTTTCTATTTTTTCTTTTAGATGGGTAAATTGTTCAGTGGAAATTGTTAGAGATGATAAGCACCAGTGGGGGGAAATATATGAAAACATGACCGGTGTTGGTGTTCTCGGCAGCTTGGTAGAAGACCGAGTGGATCTCGGAATAAGTACGTTTGTTTACAACGTTCCTGGTGATAAGAAAGAGGACATTTTTGTACGGAGTAACAAGAAGTAGTAAATTCATATTTAAGCACCGTTAGATTTACTCTTTTTAATTTAATTCTAGCGGCCCTATATTCCTGGTATGAAGAATATTTAGCGCTGGATTTTTCGGCTCCTTGTATAAGAACTGGCATAACCTGCATTGCTCCGGCACCAAGGTATCAATTGTTCTATTTTTATTTATCAAATAAAACAAATTGTGAAAAAGTTAATGTAATTTCATCGTTTTTTTAACTATAGGTTGCTGGCCAGCTGGGAAACTCCTTTCTTACCTTTCACCTTATACATGTGGATTGCAATATTTTTTACGTTTTTGTATGCCTCATTTGCTCTGACTTTTGCACAAGGAGGCTCAACTAAAAATGTTTTTCTCACAACGTTTGGTATGATGATAACACAGGTAACAGTAAAGTTAATTTAGATTTAAAAAAAGTAAAAAAAAATCCAAAATTCATGGTTTTATTTTAATATAAAATTATCTTTGGAAAACACGAGAATAACTAACGGTAGTCTGCATTACTCTCTCTTTGTGACAAAATACCGGCTCTGAGTGCAAAACTAAGATTGCCTTAAATAATGAAGCTCTTTACTAGTAAACGAGATAATATTTTTCGTCGTAATATCGAATTCCTAGTACTTGATGCTTAATGTTTCGCAAAAAATATGTTTGTTTGATTTCGCTATCCACAAACGATATTCAAGCTAGAATAAATAAAAAGTTTACATGAATTACAAACGCTGTAGTTACAGATTAAAATCTACGATCATTATTGACATCACTGCCCTCTGTAAAATTGTTTACGCAAAAAAGCTGATATTCTACAAAACGAAATTGATTTTGAATAAAAATATGCACATTTTTTCTTTTGTTTTTATCAAAAACCTTATTCAATGTAGTTAAACATTAACATTATAGAAAATGATAGGTACTGTTAATCACAAAAAGGAAATGTTGGAGATCTACGAAGACAGCGCTAAATGGAAGTCAGAAAACATTACAATGGACCGTCTTGTAATATTATTTTATTGGTATAAGTAGTTAACTTAAAATGTTAGGAAAAAAAGGGGTAAGAAAAAGTAATATAAAATTACATAAAATTGTTTTGTCAGTCACAAAGTGATGTCGGTCAGTCATGGAGGATTCGCAGCATAACTGGATGGCTACTTATCACTGGTTTGGTGCTGGACAATGCGTACGGAGGCGGCTTGGCGTCTACCTTCACAGTGCCTAAGTATGAGAAATCAATTGATACAATAAAAGACATTGTGGATAAAAAAATGGAATGGGGGGCAACGCACGATGCTTGGATATTCTCGTTAGCTCTTTCACAAGAGGTAATATATGTTATTTATAATGAAAAAAATGTAAATTAAACCTCTGAACAAAAAAATTTGTGTCTTCTTGTGTTCTTTGTCTCTATCGTCTAGCCATGTTAGAATGTTTATTTATGTCTGTTTTACATATTTCAGACACAAATTAAGCAATTGGTAAATCAATTTAAAACATATTCCTTCGAAGAACTGGAGCGAAAGAGTTACTCTAGAAGCATGGCGTTTAGTATAGAGAAACTGCCTGCAGGTAAAAACTTGTGAAAGTGGCGGACTATGTGATATATTATATGAATAAATATTTGTGACTCACCACTCAGACGGACAGGTGGCTGATACGCACAGGAATATTATAGACTTTATTCTTTTAAATTCTGGGCTGACGAAGTCTCGGACTACTGCTATGTGTTTATGTTCATTATCACAATTAATTTTAACCAAAATTCTTCTACCTGAAAAACGTCTATACATCTACAGCTCTTCTGGTATTTGCGGATGTCCATGGGCGTCGATGATCACCTCTTTGTTCCTGCAGCTTATTTGCCCCCTTCTCTTATACCTAATAAATTCTCTTAAAACATATATAGGTTATTACGCCATTGGGGAATACATAACAGAGAAAGCTGTATTGGATTTTACAATAATGTTGGAAGATTTCTATTACGAGCAATGCGTTGTTATGTTGCGGAAAAGTTCCGCCTACACAAACAAAATGAATGAATTGATAGGAAGACTTCACGAATCCGGACTTTTGCTTGCATGGGAGACACAGGTAGGAGAATTAAGACGTATAATAAATACATTTCACTAGATTTTTTTAGAATTATTTTTTAATTTAGTATTATGAAGTATTATATACCCATTTAATTATTGCTAAGTCATTAAAACTTGAAATGATTTTTAGGTAGCGTTGACACATTTGAATTATCAGGTTCAACTTGAAGTTAAATTATCTCGTTCTAAGAAAGATGTTGAAAAGATTGAACCACTTGCTTTACGTCATGTTTTAGTAAGTATAAATCTCAACACAGGTTTTGGAGAGTATAATTTATATATTAACAACCGTATTTGTGGAAGAATCTCTTAAACTCCTTCTCTTTGTTTGGTTTGCCTAAGTTACTTTGTTAATTTCCAGGGGGTGTTCATACTATACGGCCTTGGGATAATAATCTCCATTGTGATTTTTATATTAGAAATAATCATTAACAAAAATACGCATTAATCTATATATATAAAAGAAAGTCGTGTTAGTTACACTATTTATAACTCAAGAACAGCTTTACCGATATGCCTGAAAATTGGTGAGGAGGTAGCTTAGAGCCAGTAGACGGACATAGGATACTAATTACTTTTTTTTTCTTTTCGAATTTATGCCTTGAAGAGCTGTTTTTTATTTAACTTATTTGTATTTTAAATTTTTTATATATCCACACGGACGGGGTCGCGGGCGACAGCAAGTTAATAATAAAAGCGACTAGCATGTTTGAACATAAAATAAAAAATTGTGTGTTATTATAATAGCCTTTTTTCAGTTTTGTGTTGTCATTTGTAACTATACTCAGGGAGAAACGGAACGTAGTGTAGTTAGTGTTGTTATAGTTCCAAAATACTCCTCGATTTCGATAAATATTTGTAATTTTTCACAACTTACTTTTATTACATAACCTTACAATATATTTGTTACTTGTTACCAATTATTTACGTGTTTTTGTATATTTATGGTATCCTCACCTTCTCATCTAAATGGATGTTTATGTATATAACAACATTTAATTATATTAACCGATTTATCATTTTGAATAAGTGTACAAACAGTAATAAGATGATTTAATAGTACATTAACATAATTACACAATATTTAAAATATTTCAACTGTGTAAAAATGTTTTAATGTCATCGGTTACAACCGTTTTTCTCAAACAAAATTACTTGAATATTTAATATATAGTTTCTTTATTATTTAAAACTATTTTGGCTCAAAGTTTATTTATTTACGACAAAATTACATAAATAACATTTAAATAAAAGTAGATTCTTGCCATGTGAGAATTTTAAAAACAAATTTGACGTTTGGTTTTTGTAAATCACATCACTAAATCATGACGTAAGGGTTGGCAGCATTGCGCACGTTTGTCACGCTGAGTTGTCATCTTGCTTGAATGTATGCAGATGTCGCGGTCGCGGGAAACACGATCGATACAGTGTTGAGTTTGTTGTGTGATAGGAATCAATTAGGCTTGCGTTAGTTATCCTAAAATTATGTTTGAATGAATAACTAGAATATTATAAAAAATAAATATCATGATGTTTGTGTATCGGTTCGTGTATTTAGCGTTTTTCCTTTCCGCGTCGGCTAAATTTATTTGGAAGCACCATAATAATGAAGAATTACCATTAGTTTTGGAAGAAGTTCACCAAAAATGCCCAAATATTACTAGAGTTTATGCTTTATCAGAACCATCTGTTCGAAATGTTCCCCTTTATGTGATCGAATTTTCTGACACACCTGGATTTCATCAACCTTGTAAGTAGAATTAAATTTACTTAAAATAACCAGCCTACGTGTAAATATTAAATTATTTTTTTGTTACCTACCTGCTTTATAAAATAATTTCAAAGTTTCAGTTATATTGTAAAAGTAAATATTTATTATGTGAATACAAAAATTTTGTTTATAAAAATGTTTTTTTAGATAAGCCTGAAGTAAAATATGTGGGAAATATACACGGAAATGAGGTTCTTGGTCGAGAATTATTGCTCGGTTTAGCTGATTATTTATGTGAACAGTATTTGAAGAATGATCCTAACATTATGACACTTATTCATAATACTAGAATACATCTTTTACCCTCCATGAATCCAGATGGTTGGCAACTGTCCACAAATTTCGTAAGTAAAATTATAACATAAATACATTTTATCTATGTACACTAAATAGTAATTTAATTGTATTGTACTTTGTGAAGGGTGGTCAAGACTATCTGCTTGGACGTGGTAACAACCATTCAGTGGATTTGAACAGGAACTTCCCGGACTTGGATGCTATTACATTTGAGTTTGAGCGACTTGGTATCAACCACAACAATCACCTGTTAAAGGATGTTACCCGACTTGCAGCACCAGTGAGTTCATTTAATACAAACAAGTTAATATATAATAATTCTTATTATTTCAGTGGTCTTTAATAACACATATTATATATGTACCGATATGTATTTCATGCATATTATTATAACTAATAATATGCATGAAATACATATTGGTACATATATAATATTAACTTAGCATTAAGAAGTAATTGGATTGATTTTATTATTATAGGTCAACTCAAAAATATACAGATAAGGTGATCTTATTTATAAGATGATGTCACTATAATGTTCTGTTTTTATTTTTATTGGAATTTAAAAGCATATATTTTTAAGACACTGAATTTAATGTGGGTATTTTAATATTTATAAAGGCATAGTAAAATTTATATAAAAACCCACGTATGTTGTTATTAAGTTACAGTGTAATAAATATTTTTTTAATTATTAATTATTCATACTGTATATTATTTTAACACAATGAATAGAGTATTTATTTGTGGTATCTATCCAGTAATTCTAGAAATAAGACTCAATTGTATAATTTCAATGACCTTGAAAATGATATCTTACCAACTAATATTATAAATGCGAATGTTTGGTTGAATGATCTTGTTGAAATATGATATATCTTTACTGAGTCTGGAAGAACACATATGCTACTATTTAAGATTTTTTTAATCCGCGCGGACGGAGTCGTGGGCTACAGCTAGTGTATAATATTCTAGTAGCTAGTCTATATAAATGATACTGTGTTAGTTGGAGCCAGAAACTCGCGCGGTGATACGCTGGATAATGTCAATACCGTTTGTGCTGAGTGCGGCGATGCACGGCGGAGATCTGGTCGCCAACTACCCTTACGATGAAAGCAGGAGTGGTGCCCTTGCCTCCGAGTACTCCGCCAGCCCTGATGATGATACCTTCAAGTAAGTGATATACTCTGTTCCAAACTAAACATGAACATTTTTAAACAATTAGTTATTTTTATATTAAAATTCATAAAAGACTGTTTTTTATAATTTCAAAATCAGTTGTATACCACTATTTCATATACAGATTTAGAGCACCCTTTTAAATTATTGTCTTTTTAGGAATTTGTTATCAGCACAAATATCTCGTATAACTCAGAAGCGAAACGAACAATATCTCAATGGCTGAGTCATGGGTTTGAATCTCAATATTGAACTACAATTTTCGTTAACTATATTGTGACATAAGCCCAGAGAGTAGTTGAAACATTAGTAGATTTTAATCTGCTAACGCTATCTGTCCGGGATTACTATGATAACTTGTCTGCGCCAAACTTGACACCTGGCCGCACTCAACTTCAAGCACTCACTCTTTCATGCCATTCATTCTCGCATTCTCGCACTCACGCGCACACTTGTCGCACTAAAAATATACCTTGCCTAATTAAACGCCAATCTAACATATTTCCAACAGTTTTTTTATTTTCTTGTTCTGTACTGAACATAACTTATTAAATTTATGAAATTTTATATTCCCAACATTTTATTAGGCGCGATTAAAGGTCCAATCGCCAATAAAATACGGAATTTTTATCCTTTTTTTTGTTGACGACCGCTAAAGGAGAATAGTAATTGTATGTTAGTAGGTACACATGATCTGCGCGGAATGCAAACGCAGATTGATTAACTGTTATCCTTGTGATGCGGGCGTATCATGGCCGTTGACAATTTACTGTCGCTTTTAACGCTCAGATTTCACGAAGTAAAAACATCGAATGATAGATACCTAATCCGAAGCACAAAAGTAAATTCAAAAAAAGATCTTTGGAAGGCTTAGTAGTAGTAGATCCCGTAGAATATTTTGTTTGGTGCACAAATATCTCAACTTGAAATACTACGACCACACAAAAGACAGGCGTGAAGTGAAAGCTATTTTGCGTTTCGTCTGATCAGTGCGTGCTCGAGTTAAAATTATTAATTTTTTAATGTACTTTTTTGATAACCTTGAAAAAATAAAAGATTGGTAAAGTTATCATATGTTTTATTATAATCATCGCGTTTTACGAATTGTTAACACCTATTTAAATATAAATGATACGTTAAAGTTCTTTAACTTTAAGTTCTTATTTTTTTTTAGAATTATATCGATATGTGTGTATAATTTCTTCCTATAGGGAAATAGCTATGGCATACGCGAACGCGCACGCCGATATGGCATCAGTCAACCGACCCGGCTGCCACGTCAATGGTCCCGACCAATCTGAAGCCTACAATTTCGGCAAGCAGGGCGGTGTCACGAATGGTGCAGACTGGTACAGTCTCAAAGGAGGTTTGTTACAATATTTTCAGCCAGGTTGAATAAGTATTTTTTTTATTTTCACGTATACCGGTGTATTAACGGCCAGTTCCAATTAACCAAATTTAGTGTACCTATGAAAGTTGTTGCTAAGTGCAAGCATTTTGCGGAATACGGTAAAATACTACGAAAGGAAATTTAATATTCCTCTGTACCAACTAGGAAATAGCGCATGACATTAAGCAATTCATTTATATTGTGTGTAAACGATAAGGCCATAGTTGGCTACGCGGATCCTGAAGATTATTATTATTTTCCTTTGGCTATCAGGAAGTACATGAAGTGGGATAATGTAACGTACTCGTGCTTATGACATTTAAGCGACGACTAGTTAACCGTGAGTTGAACCGGTAAAGTCGGAATCGGTAGTGTCCAATTTCTTTTCAAACATTCAACAGCCCTCATTCGATTTACTTTGTAGGTATCGTTATGCGGCTAGCTCGCATAATCGAATGTAATTTGCATCATCATAATTCAATGTCAATGTAAAAAAATATGTTTATTTTTATACATTCGTTTTATCTCGCATAATAATAACGGCGTTGGCACAACGGTCAATATAACGGTTAGGTACTTTTTGTCACAAGTACGAGATAGTATATGGTTCAATTCTGATTCCAAAGTAGTATATTTTATGTCCTTTTTTGAAAATCCATGATTCCATCTATCTTTCTCTCTCTCCTCTCCTCTTCTCTCATATTCTATCCACTAGGTTTTTAACACTAATAAAAACTTAGCGAATCTTTGTCGGTTTAATTATCACTAGAGTTTGAAATTAACGAAACTTTGATTATATTTTAGGTATGCAAGATTTCAACTATTTGGCTACAAATGCATTTGAAATCACACTAGAATTGGGTTGCAAGAAATATCCATTGGAAAATGAATTAGAGAACGAATGGAACAGGAACCGTGAAGCTCTGCTAGCCTATTTGTGGAAGGCTCACATCGGTATAAAGGGAATCGTAAGCGATGATACTGGCTTCTTAGAAAATGCTATCATATCTGTAGTCAATCTAACTGGACACACGCCAAAGCCTATACGACATGACGTCACTACTGGTACGTATAATCATATCCAATAAATCAATTAAAACACTTTCATTTAAAACTATTTACGCCAGGAATACTTCGATAACATTTAGCTGTGAAACTAAAGAATCAATTTAAAACTAATAACAGTTAAAACCCAACTACAATTTTATATAATTCGTGTTATCGTCCACTGCCGAGTTGAACAATTGTTGGTGCTCATAATCATTCAATTACAAGCAATATATTCAACTAAGAGTTTCCTTGTTTGTCATCGTGTCATCGTAGCAGATATAGTTACACAAAAATATTAAAAATGCCGTCTTAAAAACGTATTATGTTTGTCTGTCTGCTTGACACTGACAAACAGCGCAAGTCATGGAAAAAGGGTAGATAAAATGAATCCCTAACGATGTTAACGAAGGACCAAATACCCAAGTGACTCACGCAATTTTACGTTGAAAACCCGAATTCGATATGCTTATTTCAGAATATGTGGTTATTAAAACAATATTTGTATGACAAAATGACGACTTACTAATATTTAAAATGAGAATGGATGGATGGATGGATGTTTTAAGAAGGTACCTTCACAATGGCTTAACGGATCTCGGTAAATTTGGCCAGACTGCTCTGGAAGAATACGTAGGTTACTAATAAAGTTATTTTAAATTCCGTTCAAACTGAGTCGTGGACGATAGCTTGTTTCAAATGTTGCACATTGCATTACGTAGATTTTTTCGTGTTATATCGTATTGTTGTGACTGTATGACGTCACGTGAGTGGTGAAGTAATACTGCTAACAATACGGCTCCACAACGATGTATACTGTAAACACTAACACGTTGTAATAGAATTGTGGTATACCGGAAACCCAGTAAAGGACTTTTGTGTAGGGTATCGCATATCAGCGAATAGCAGTTGTATACAAACCGGTGATACTCTTTGTGGGAACTTATTGATCAAACTATTCGTGGTTCAAACAATGAATGAATATTTTCGAGTGAATTGTATAGTATTTCAATTTTTGCAATTATTTCTTTTCACGGAATGTGTTTTTATTAATGAAAATGATACGCAAATCAAAGCGTGTTTGTGTTTTCCGGATAAATTTAATCAAGCAGCCCTTCACGCTTAATGTTCTCAGATTTAAATACAATTATATTACGCGAGGACGTAAAAACCACTTAGATACGGCTGACGACTATAATTTCTTACACCCTATTAAAGGAACACTTTATTAATAATAAATTTAATAATATCTTAGGTAGTAGTAATAGAAACAATTAATTAAATGTCTAGACGATCTGTGTGACCACAATAACACAGACGATATGGTAATTAAGAACATCGTCGTCCCTGTAACGACAGAGGTCTTATTGTAGGCGTCTTTTGACTGGCAACAATTAGATGAGTTGCAGATCTTTCTTATGTCAGATATTACGACATGAAAAGATAAATAAAGGGTGGAAGAAAACATGCTTACTTTACGCATGTCTCTATTCGCCACGTTGTACAAATTGTCACAACAATTGTCTAGGTGTTTATGGTGATTACTACCGCTTGCTGACTCCGGGTCGTTATGAAGTGACCGCAAATCACCCCGGTCATTATCCAGCACAGCGCATCGTTACAGTGCCCCAGCGACAGTCCTCAGCACGGATACTCAACTTTAAACTAGAGGTATGTACTTTAATTGTAGTAATCATCCTGCTCGAAGGATTCTATTCATCCTGCTCGAAGGACCAAAACGTTCTAACACTTATGTAATTAATTGATGATATTAATTAAATGTGAGGTTTACGCGAAAGAGGCGGTTATATTAACCACGGGTTATTTGTTTACCGGAAACTAGCAATTTGAAGATAATTATTCAACATTATAATGAATGACGAAGTAATTGTGTTTTGAATTGTTTCTGATACATCATTTCAATGTAATATCAAGGTTTGATTCATTACATTGTAAATGTTATACAAAGATAATATGTAATTTCTCACGTGTTTTTATCTTACTTGTATTTAACGAATGAAGACTGTTGTCGTATTTACCAAACTTTCAAGAACACATTTCATATCATATGACTCAATTCTTACTTTCCACGTGCGCTTTTGTTTGAATATAGCATGAAAGCAATACTATTTAAATTTTTTGCGCAAAGTAAAAACTATAAGATCAAATTTAAGATTTTAATTATAAGTGTTTAAGATTGCATTGCATCTAAGTCTTCGTACAAATTTGACCTATAAACATCTGCATGCAACTATAATTCCCAGCTCGGCTGCTTGCCCAATTGAGGCAATTAGTAAACACAACAAGACTGTTCTCTGGCACCGTCCGTTGACTTCACTTCACATTTAACACTGAACACGTAGAATTACATTCAAAGTTGCGTTACATATAAGGTCTAAAGTATGTCGAGTTAAATAGTAATATATTGAATCACATCTGTCTGTACGCGAAACGCTATTTATAAGCAAGCTTAAGTATTATTAGGGACAATTTTATACAGCAATAATGATATTAAATTGCAATATTTTGAGGCAAATAATTCTTTACAAGCTTCTGTAAAACCTTTATACGTGTAAAGGATTTTATCGATTAATTGCAGACTTAAGTTAAAGAATTTTAACTGCTCTTATTAGGAAAAGAGCTAAAAATAAACACGGAATATGACGTTAGAAGTGCTTGTACCCACTTTCATTGACGTCATACTTCTCCCTCTGACGTAAGCCGACCAACGCACAATCTCTTACACGTGGGCGTTTAGTATTGATCGTTCATACGATTTCACGCTTCACTTCTTAACTTCAATAAACTGTGATAAGCTTTGATATAAAGAATTTCATGATTATAGCTTAGAGAGTAAAATAGTCTGGGTTAAATGTGAAAATTGGCTTTAAATTTTTAATAGGCTCTTGCACAAAGAAGTCCTGGTTTAATTTTACAAATGTAAATTCTCTTAGAAATATTAATTGATACAAGTTTATTTAAGAACAATGATAGTATCTTACTCTTACTAATATTATAAATGCGAATGTTTAGATGGATGGATGGATGTTTGTTTGAAGGTATCTCCATAACGGCTGAACGGATCCGGCTGAAATTTATCGTAAACGTAGAAGATAGTCTGAAAGAACACATAGACTACTAATTATTTTTTTATTAACTCCGCGCGGACGGAGTGTCGAGCGACAGTTAGTCTATATATAACTATCTTAATTAAAATACCTATAGTCTGTTATAAATAGTCATGATTATGCATTTGTCGATTACAATACATTCGCTTATTCTTTAACCAAGGTTGCAAAGAGAAAGACCTAAATTGCGAGTGCAGCTCATTGATGTGACTATCGGAGCTTTGTAAAACTGGCCGTTTGTCTGATGCAGTAAAGACTAACCTTGAATTTTGTTCACAATAAATCTAGTGTTAATAAGTACCAGTTGTACTACGCAATATGTTATTACAGATGTCTATGGGTAGTGGTCAATTATTACAGGCTTTTCACCTTATTTTTCGTTAAAAAAATCCACACAGGTCAAGAACATAGGCTAACAGCTCCGTGTTGTTTGAAAGTAAATTAAAATCTTAGCATATCTAAAAGGCTTTTAATAACTATGAGAATTTTTGTGTCTGAAGCAATTTGTTATTATTGTATTATTTACGATTTATTAACATAATTATTTCGTCGTTAACCAACTTCAAAATGGAGGAGATACTCAATTCGTTTGTATGTTTTTTTTGTTCGTCGATGACTCCGACGCTACTTGTCCCATGATTTTTAGCAGACTTCCTTCCTTATACTAATTTTGCTTTCATGATTAATTTATATATAACCAATAAAATTGTATTCGAAGTTTTCTATTACCTATTTATTTTAATTAAGGGTTTTTTTATACCAAAATAATGGTATATTTCAGCCGATACGTTACGAAGACGGTGCTCTGTTCTTCGATCCTCCGTTCATCCGTTACCAGCACGTGCTCGGCGACCAGCCTCGTATCTACAAACGGTCACTCTTCGAAAAGGTCACCAATACTTTACTAGAAGCTAAAGATACACCCAAACAATAAACACGGCAATGGATTCTAGACCTTATGGTAATTGAAATAAGTATGAAATTATTGTAAACTTATTAGCGAAATTTGAGTGACGAATCAGGATATAATTTGTCGCTGATAGTTAAGTAATAAAATGCATTCGTAAGTCGTTTGACATTTTAGTCAATTTTTTTTTCTTCATACAATAAGTTTATTCGACAAGGTTGAATTTATCAAAGTGTATGCAAACGATAAAATAAGTAGTGTTCCTTTATATAGTATATAAATATCGCGCAGAAATTTGAGTGCCATAAAATATCTCTTTCCAATTGTTGAATTTTATTTTTTTATTATAAATATTGTTTACAGAATATAAATAAAATTTGTCTAGTCCAATCGCGTTACCTTTTATTTATACTTTATCATTGAATGAAAACAATTGACATTGACATTAAAGTTGTCATAAAAGTACATAAAAAAAGAAGTAATAAAATTGCTTCCATCATTATTATAAAATATTTTTACAATCCCGTATGTTACCTACCTAAAATCTCTCTGTCCGTTTGTTATATAAACTTATTTATAATTTTAAACATGATATCATTGTTTTGACGATTTCGAGAGATGAGTTCATCACATTGCGATACTCAAAATAATCGTCATTTCTTTTACAGTATTAATATTATATTTAAATCATAAAATAAGTAATGAAAAGTTACAGTTTTATTAAATGCATATTCAAAATGGATTTTACTATTTCAATTTTATTGGTGACTGACATTACGTCCCGCTTTAGAACCCCCGCACACTGGAGACATTCAGTCGCACGATAGTTTGTTCCTGACCTTAATCAGTATAAGCATTGTACGGAGGTGCCCACATTGCATCGATTATAGTTCATATGGATTAAGCTTACGATCAAAATATCGGACGACTAAAAGTCTAGTGTGCGGGGGCTCTTATTTGTTCAGAACTGTGTATTATGACGTCACAGATAACAAAAAAGTAAGTGGTAAATCTTACTTCTTACTAATATTATAAATGCGAATGTTTTGATGGATGTTAGTTTGAAGGTATATCTAGAATGGCTGAACGGATCACGATGAAGTTTTGCAAACATATAGAACATAATCTGGAAGAACACACAGGCTACTCATTATGCTGTTTATTACGCGGCGGACGGAGTCGCGAGTGACCGCTAGTTAAAATAAATGAAATATTTTCCTCATATAATATGTAGAGAATTGATCTCGTAACATACGGCGGATTATTTTTTGGGATTTCCAGTATAATGTTTTATAATCAAAATATAATATTTATCTGTACATAGTTTGTAGTTGAGAATTAACTAAATTGTATATATTTTCGTGTAAAATGACTTATAACTTTTCTTATAATCTTAATGCTTATGGACGAAATTACAATGATGTTACGTAATATGGACAAAATGATCGCAATGGTTTTCTTGATGCAATAGATTGATAAATTAATTGGGATTAAATCTAAAAAGCATACTAACTTTAAATTTTTCTTAAATAATTTAAAATATACATTAAAATTATTCTCATAATGATTTACTTCAATTTCAATTCAATTCTGTTGTAGATAATCTTCACTAAGGGACTGTTGATGTTACTTTTAAACGATTATTTGTTATATAGCAACTAAGCAGTTAGTCCCATTGCATTTTGCCTAGATTTACGTTCATCATTGTAATTGTGACTTATAAATCTATATATCTACTATTTAATAAACTGTCTTAATGTTTAAAGTGTTGAATAAATGGAATTTATGTGCATTTTCTTTTATTTCAATTTCCTATCCCATTTTTAGGGTTCCGTACCTCTTCCTCATCACTTTGTTGTCCGTCTGTCAAGATCCTTTTTCTCAAAAACGCGTGAAGGTATCAAGCTAGAATTTATCAGACAATCATTGACTGTGGGCATAAAATGCTTCGACAGCTCTTTTTTGTATAATACTTACCACATTCCTATTCCTTTAACTGTGACTTAGCAGTTCCTGTGTAGATTTGCCAATAAGTCTCCACTAAGGGACAGCTTCCCTTTATGTGATAGAACAGTCAAAGAATTTGTCGACTAAATGAGGACTGAGGAGAAAATTGAAAGAAATATCCGATGACTGTAAGAGGTAAAATAAAAAAGTACTGGCTGTTAAAGGTTTTATTAAAACCATTTTTTTTTAATTTTAAAGTTAATACACATTGTACTTATCTAATTATTAGCTATATTTTATAATTGACATAATTAAGTACATAACTAAATTAAGTATATAAACTATGACTGATAAGTTTGTGTTGTGCAAATTAAATGATTTTATATTTTGAGCACACTATTATAAGCTATATAAAAATTACGTATGTACAAAAATAGATTTTGAACTTAGTCATTGAATCGGTTATATTGTAATTATTAACAAATCCCATCAAATAAACCACTGTCTAAAATAAAAATATCAAGGATCATCTTTCTTGTTTATTAAATCTTAGACGATCAAAAACTTTTAACTTATATTTGAAGACCACCTGTACAAAACATTTTTTATATCTACTTCAAAAAGAATACAACAGTTGACAATTGTATGGTAAGTTTTATATATATGTTTCAGTGCAATAGTAGCAGTGGAAATCGACCGTTATAGTAACTTAAACACGTCACAAAAATTTTGACAAAGCTAATTTGTCTCGCCTGAGCATTTTAGTATCACGATCCACTATTAATATTCAGGATTTCATATAAAAGTAGTAAATTATATAACAGTAAAATAAATCATAAAAAGTTTGTTTTGTTTATTTCGAACACAAGAAATTGTTTATTTATCGGGCTATTGTTCGCAGTTACTAAATTATCTATTGGTTCGAGAAACTTGCTGCTGAATGCTCTTACATTTGAAAAGAAAATATCACATCACTTATAAAATAGTAGCATAAAATTAATATTATTAAGCCTGAAAAATTTACTACTAAGATATACCTCAGCATACACTTAACAATACATAATATATAACAATGAAGGAAAATAGTAATTTAGTTTATGTATAAAATATACTCTATTTACTTGTATTGTAAGTTTATAATAAAATAGTTATCACTTAGTAAATTACGACTTTCTCTATTTAAGTTTTTTTTTTTATAATTTCTTACTTATTATTAAATACAAAAATATAAATTTTAAGAATATGTAGGTATTCATTGAGATAATTTCGGACGGATTCGTTGCGTTTTTCAGTTTACAATTATGAAAGTTTAATTAAACATTCAAGATTATTTTAAATAAAAAGATCTTATTCTTTCATGGGAATTAAATGGCACACATGAAATTCATTCACAGAAAAAGAAACGGTACCTATAAAATTCATTTTTTTATCGTATTACAATCTCTAATAAAGTATAAGCACCTTATTTGATTATTTGAGAATTCAGAAATAATAATCATATATAAAATTTTGAGGAACCATATCCTAATTCAGTTACAAAGCGTGCAATAAACTAGAAATTAGTATTTACACGTATAGGTTTGAAACATTCACTCCGATATATTCGTGCCAATAATTTTCAAGTTACCTGGAAACAAAATTCATGATTACATTTCTTGCTTATTTAGTGTCAAGAAGATCTCACAAAAATCACAAAGGGAGTGACCTTTCTATACATTTTTTTTATTTTTCCTCTAACATTGTCTACACCATGTTTTCAAGCATATAGGTTAGCAAATCAGAACAAGGTGCAATTATATTTGTATTTTTTGATGTCTTCTCACGTCACATTAGATGAATTGCGTAATTATTTAATTATATTGTACAATATCACCTAAATCAGGCTTAAATTAACATCAAACTTTAATTGATTTACCGTTTAATGTCTACTCCTGTGCATGCCGGAATGCCTACTGCCCGGTCGCGATTGAACTATTGCGTAGTGATCGCTGTTGTCTGACACAGACCTGAAACACAGACAAATAAAATTAAAACATCTAAGTTAGCTTGTCATGAATGAGAACAAATCAAATTTTCTTGTAAACTTATTGTTAAAAATTGGTTATTTTAGTATATTGTAGATAAGATGGTACCTTGTTGAATGTATGGTGGATGAGGGATATCTGCTTCCGTACTGGCTTCCATGCCAGCTACGATAGGGGTCGTAATCCTCCACAACTGATGGATCTTTTTCAATCACCTAAAAATTTAAAGTTATAAAATAAGTTTTATCAGTAGTGATGCTTTTGCCAAAGCGTTGCTTATGAAATTTAGACCAAGGCTGTGAAATCATACATGTACATACATCAGTTCTCGCACAGGAGCATGTCATGGCAGTGCAAAGGAAGCAATTGATGAGCAGCATGACGAGGAACATAACGCCCAAGGCGATGGCCAGGTACAGCAGCCATAGCGGCCGCACGCTGCCGTCCGCGCACGCTAGTGCCGCCACTGACAACATAAAACGTAATTCTATATTAATATCGTATCGTAATTCTAAATTAATTATATTTATAGTATCGGTAGGATTAAATGGGTTACTGTGTACACCCGTGTGTGCACTTTCCTCCACTCACAAAGAGATCACATAATCACGAGCCGCCTTAAACTTTGAAGCTTATTATACAATTCATCCAATTAAGCAAAGAAATTCTTTATACTCTTCTGACAAAATCATTGAGCGTTTCATTCTTTATAGTATTGTGGTGTGCTACCGTTGCTGTCATTAGGGTCTAGTACGAAGACGCTTGTGGAGGCGGTGAAGCTGCCCTCCTCGTCTCCAGGATCCGCACTGTCGCTCGTGCAGTCCACCACCGCGCAGCTTCCTGTAATAAGATTTTTATCACTCTTTACTTGACAATGCAAAGATTGAAAGAAGTTGAGAAAGTCGGGTTGAGTAGTGCCCAGGGCAGGTGCTGTATTGCGTAAAATAAGGCAGTAATTATTCTGATGTAATGTATGAATGTAGGAGTTTAAAATTCGTTAAAACCAGCAGATAAAATACTTAAGATAACTATACCTTACGTTGTTCCCTTACCCTCGTCCTCATTATACCTTATATGTTTTTGTGTTACGGTTTAATTGTATTACCTTTGCATACTCCAATATCGCATTGGAAGTTGACTTGTGAGGATCCCGGGAACCGGAAGATGGAGGAAATCGCCAACTCTGCCATACCGTTCTCATTCTTTACCGATACTTGTGTTTTTAATGGACAACTGGAATGAAAACAGTAATATATTAGTGACATTTTACTTCTTAGTAGCGCTAAGCGGAATTTGATCGAATTAGCGAATTTCTCTTGGAAACATGTTAACAAAGGTGGGGTACATAAAGGATGTTGGTTTAATAACTTTATTTCAATATTTTATTATTAGTATATTTTAAAATATGAATTCAATCATTAAAATGTATAATTTTTTCTACGATATTCACAACGCGTTATTTTTAACAATATAATCTCTTAACGTAAACCAGCTCTTTCACAAAACAAATGTAGGTAGGTACTATCTGTATATTTACCCTCGTTGATCTAAAAGCTCGACGGTGTTGTTCCGCATGTTGAACGCGAAACAATTTTTCATTCTGATCCCGTGGAGTCCTGTAAAGTACAAACATTAATCTTCAGTGACGTTGCAATTTCGTGCTCGAAATACCTTGACGGTTGGACGGAATTTATATGGATATTTTTAAATTGCTGGCTGGCATTTATTAAAAATATTTTTCTTAAAGTAATCACGCCATTTTCCTTTTGTCTAATCTGTGGTTTTATAAATTGTACAATTCCTGAGAAGTCAAAGAAGTGTTTTAAGTAACAATTACATCATAATTCGGTAAGTTACCGTCTGATTTGCTGATTTCAGCTTTAAGCGTGTAATGCAACCCGAATGCAGCATTGAACACCTTGCGTCCGTTATCGTCCAGCATACGCAGAGATACTGTTGACGTTTCATTTCTGTAATCAAAATAAACATTATATTAGCTAGAGCTAACTATTAGGATTATCTTTACAACTTACGACGTACGTATACGTAAAAAAAACAAATTTGCCTCAAGTTTCTTATTTTAATCTTGGAATTCTGCTGTTTTTTGCTGGTGTACATTTTCTTTGCAAAATAAGTTTCACCTATTGTGAATAGTTCTTTGTGTAGTTAATCGATGTCGCCCGTTAAAGGAACTCTTTAGTATCATTTATAGCTGTTCCCACTACTTAGTTATAATGTATTCTATTAGTTAATATGGTAGTCGGTACCTGGAGTTCTTGAAGCCAGTCTTGCCGCAGGTGATGACGTAGAACTTGTCGTCGGCCAGCTCCAGTGTCCGGTGAACCCGCACCGCCAGTGGCAGTGACCGTTCGTCCGTACGCTGAGAACATTCATTAAACACATTAATGTTAAAATCATGAAAGTTGATTAATTTTGTTTCCTCTAAAAAGAAACAAGCGTCAAGCGACAGGCGATCAACGAATGTTATATTGCAACTATAGCCATCAATTGTTGCAGATGTATATGGACGAAGGAGACGATGTTCTCTTCTAATCTATCTCCACCGTCGAGTCCAACTCCCTTTCCCTTCTTTTCCTTAAAAAGTGAAGGTATGTAAAGTTCTGTGCAGGTCGTAAATTTGTGTGTCGTAATACTTACATTGTTATAAAAGACACCGCAGTATTCAGGCGTGCCAGGAGCTGCCATCAGGCTGATGTCAAAGTTGAGGGACTCACTGCCGTTGCCCGTCGCCATGCATGCCGGCGTCCTGAAAACAATTAGTTCTATATAAGTTTTTAATCTATAAGAATTAAATAATTACTATTATTCTTACTACTTCTATTACTGTAGAAGATAAACCTTTCGGTACAAGTCATTATGATAGATATTTTCCATTTATGCTTAAAACAAGAACTAAGTGTTGCAAATTTGATATATATTATAAATACCTGCTTTTGTCGCATCAATAATTTGTTACTACTTAAGGTATATAACTTAAACTTTCATGGTTTCAACTATAATAACATTCGACATGTCGACAATAAATTGTGACATCTAGGGCGAACTTAACGTGAAGTGAGAACGCGGACAGTAGTAGTGGTCGGCGAGCACGAAAGAAGGTAGACCGATACGGTTATCTTTAATATTTTTCACACTACCGTACTACATCAGTCAACCCGTGATTATGGCGCATGCAAGTGTGCCGAAATATCGGGAACTCAAACAGCTCAATCGTGGTAAGAATTCCGTATTAGTTTAGGTAACTTGAATATGAAAAAAAATCTAATAAACAAATGTAATACCTGAACTCCCTCGCGTGTGCAATGCCGTTGAAGGGCTGATTGAACTCAATGTTTATGGACATAACGCCCGTCTTGCACGTCGCCTTCACTGCCGGCGAGAACTCGCCACTGCTCTCCGTGTTCTGTAAATAACAAATAATTCTATAGTAGTTTTAGAATAATTTTAACACTAGAACGCAAAAGTGAAACGCTTAGGTAGACAGATAATGATTGAAACAAAAAACATTCATTATAAGCTTTTATTTTGTTTGTAAGTTCCAACCCCCTAATTATCCTTAAATAAACTGATAATTATAGTTGTTTTCCTGGTGTTCGGCAAGGCAAGTCACGGTTAAAGATCAATTTCTTAAAGGTTGTTTACGCAAGGAAATTATGAAAACAATTTAATTAACTTTATAATTATATGATAGGTTTACCTTAAAACTATTCTTTTTAGAAAGTAAATAATGCAAGGCAATTGTTAATTAACTTCTAAAATAATTTAAATTATTCTTGGATATAAAATATGCATAATTTCAACCTTAACCTACTAGTTATGGTTAGATGATTTTTTATTAAAATACCAACGAAGAGTTGTGTAATTGCTTGATTTCCAACCTTATGTAGCTGACGGTAGTCGTGTTATCTTAAAATGACGTAAAATCATATCAAATATTACATCTTTCCTTGTATAATTTCTTATATTTTTTTCGCAAATAAGATATATATTTTGTTTTCGTGCGACAAGAAAATATCTTTAATATCGTGTAGTCCCCGTTTGCTAAGTTTTACTGCAGTAAATCTTGGCTATTCGCTCACGCATTTCCTATTTATGGGATATTTTAACGAAAATAAAATCGGTCATTTACCTAACTCAGAATATGTGGAATCTTATACACGTTATGTTGAATACTATTAATATTAACGCAAATTAATATATTATAATATTATTTCAGTTTTCTTCTAGAAGAACGAAATGGATAAGAATATATTCTGATACTAGTGTTAAAATTAACGGATGTTCAACTAAGTGGGTTTTATTTTCTTAGCTAGGAAATCGGATCTAACTTAACTGTAACTTATTTGCAGACTTGGATTGAGTATAGGTTTTAATCTAATATTTGCAATCCTTTCTTCGGCTGCGTAAGGCTGTATTAAGAAGGTAATGGGCGTGCTTTTGTAGTACTGTGAGATACAATCTGTTGGCAGGCAGGCGCGCAGGGCTGAGGTCAACGGACGGGGCGCGGGTCACTCAGATCACTCGCCTGTTTCTTGCTTACCTCAGCTTTGTCAGGGAAAATAGTTTCAATAACACTATGAAGGTTTAATTTTTACTTAAAAAAAACATATTTTAATATAATTTTTACTATTTTTGTATATTTACAATTAAAATATTTGACAATAGATAAAAATTGATTAGAAAAATTGAGCTTAAGGCCATTGATTCAAATTGAATGTAAGGATAATTAAAATTAGAAAATATAATAATAATATTTCGATAAAATATGTTATTATTGTTTTTTATATCGATAAATTCAACACTATTATTTGATGTTATTAATTAAACGGCACTATTTAATAAATCAGATATAAAAGCTGTCGACTTAACAATAGGCCCCAGTCAGGTTCCGAAGGCCACCAACTAATATTTTGCAATCGAGATCGCCATTGCAATGTAATTATTTAGATTTGGGCCACAATTTAGTCTGTGATCAAACATAACTAAGTTGAATAACTACCCTAGCTTGTATTTCAAATAAAACACTATACGTTGATGCAACCTGCACATATCTGAGAAGAAATTCAAAGATATGTGTGAGACAAGCCGAAGACAGGACGGCGTGGAGGCAGCTGGTCGACACGGCCGTCGAAGCGTACCAGGACAAACACGACCTTCAGTAATGAAGAATACGAAGAAGAAGAAATGAAGTCAACCAAACCGCACTGGGCCAGCATGGTTGACTATGGCTTAATCACCTTTAACTATGGGTAGGCCCCGAGCCCCTCGGTGAGGACATATAGTGAGCTGATGATGATGATGATGATGACTATACGTTAATAGAAAGGTGTTAAATTACAAATATAATAGTAAAATTACTTGTAAGTATCATCATTCATTGAGTCAATTATTGTTCAATAACACAGCGTATCTTAACTCGACATCCGTTTATCTAATACCCGTATCATTTTATTGTAGAACCTTGCAATACAATATTACACGGAGATTGTGCAACTGCCGTATACTATGCTATCTCACCGCTGTTTGATTAACTGTACCTATGTTTAATACTCGTACGTTCGAAATTCGGGAACTCAATAACCGGAGATTTATACCACGATAACTGTCTATTTCTTGTCGATTTGACTTCGAATATTACTAAGTCAGTACGGTTTCCGATCAAAATGAAGTTTAGTAACGTGAGCTTTCAAAGCTGTACCAAATATTGAGACCGTTTGCTCCCAATAATAAGTAGATATTTCGTCATACATTCTACTTTTGTATTTATAATATATATCGTTTGTCTTTTTATTTTTTAATTAATTTTAATGTAATGGTTTTGCCGCAATATCATGATAAAATTGAATATGATATCATATTTTTAAGTGTGGGAATTATTTTTTTATAGATCAATTCAAAAGAATGCAAAAAGGAGGTTCTTAAACAATTATCCAAAAGACAAAATAATTTATTGTGAAACTAGATAATTTTACATATAAAAAAGATAAACCAAAAGCTGAAAAATAATGTTAAAAACAATTTCCAAAAAAACCATTAATATTATTAATTTTAAGTTAAGTTAACAACGGTTGTATTCAACACCGTTATGTATTTTTTCCCAATATTGATACTATATTTGCCATACACGGCCTAGCATTATGTAAGTGCAAATATGAGTTCACCAAAGTATATGTCGTGTTTGATGTAATCTGGCAACCGGTCCGCTTCGATTCGCCTACGTCACGCCATGCCTTACTTACGACAGTTTCTTGAAACCAATACCATATAAGTAACTTGAGTCATTAATTTTATTTCGTTTGTTATGACATAATAGATGGTTGCCAATATTTTAAACTAGCTGTCATCCGCGACTCCGTCCGCGCGGAATTAAAAAAAAAACTATTGCTCCTCTATAAATGGACTATCCAACAAAAAAAGCATTTTTCAAATCGGTCCAGTAGTTCCTGAGATTACCGCGTTTAAACAAACAAATAAAATCTTCCGCTTTATAATATTAGTATAGATGGAACAACAAAGAGTTTTTGTTTAAATAGGTTCTTGTATAATGTTTTTGTGTAACTAAAACTACTTATAATAACTTTGCTTAGTAACAGAAAATAATGACAATTAGTTATGAGTAAAAACTGTTATGGGGTTAACGCGTATAATATATTAGTGCTTGAGTGGTATAAACTCTGTCAAATATTATCAATTGAAATGGCAAACTTAAAGTCGTTAGTCGTTCATCATCATCTCACTATATAAGTCCCCACTGAGGGGCTCGGACCCTACCCTAAGTGGTGATTAGGCAATAGTCAGCCCGGCTGGCACAGCGCGGGCTGGTTGACTTTACACATATTTTTGAATTTTTTCTCAGATATATAAAGGTTGCATCACGATGTTTTTCTTCACCGTAAGAACGTCAGATACATGTAAATATGTACATGTACATAGCGGGATTCGAACCTAGGATCTGCAGATTGCAAGTCAAGTATTTAACCCTTGAGCCGACGACCTTAATTTAGAATAGTATAAATTAAAACAAATTGTGTTGGTACCCATAATTTTACACTTAAGTCACTAATGTTGTTTGAATGGTGTGTGCAATTTCCCACGGAAGCAGTGATGTATTGTTAGGAACACTTGGATGTCTGCAATAGGAAGTGTCGAATGATTGCCGTTGGTGATCGGCGTATCTAATGACATCTTGCTTGTGAGTTCCCGGCGCTGATAGAATACGCATTGGATATACATACATATGTTTTTGTTGCAATCATTTTGCTATTAAATTCTATGAGTTACAGCTACCAATTTATTCACAATTTTTGAAAACGTATCATTACGCGTAACTGTTGACATACTTAGGAAACAAAACAGGGATATTGGTTTTATTTTTTTATCGTATAAAACCGCGGCAATTTCATTCGGCTGGAAATCTTACGTGGAATTCCCAACGCTGCATTAATAGTTTTTTATTTAATTCGCTATCTTAGGATCTACGATCTAAAAAGCTTAAACACTATTTATGCTGCTTCGTATTTGATTTTGCATTTCTTATTTTGGTTTGAGTTTGGGGTTTCTCCAGAATTCTCTGAGTTAGTTTGTGCTTGCGAAATTATCCTCATATCTATTTAATCAATACTAAATTATTTACAGCTATTAGTTGTCATTATCTCAGAAACAGTCTTGAAACATATGATAAACTGTTTTAATATTAAATGCCGCTATATTATATGGCAAAGCTTTGGAATGTAAAAAAAAATAAAACGCGATAAAACAAGATGGCGATTGTGTTATTGAAATAGTTTTCGAAGAACTAGTTATGTAGTTCCTTAACTTATTTACCTACCTCACTTTATGTTGTCAGATATGCTACATTCCAAAATAATAATACCTTCGATTTTCGCGAAATAATATATTATGTACAAAATTCTACATTTTTGCTAAGATCTTTTATCTTTCAAAAGTAACCGTATTTAGTAATTCTCTAAAACAATTAAGACGATATTTAACCTCTTTGTATTTTATCTTTTGGATTAGACTTATTGGTGATAATAAATCCACAATTTCAATTTAAAAATAAAAGCCTTCAACTTACATTTAGAAGTGCGTTCGTTGAGTTTTGTCGCTGAAAACTTTTAATATCATAACTTGGTGACTAATTGTGCTTTCACAAAACAAAAACGTTTCTGTAGGTTGGAATTATCGAGGTCTGCATACAAAAGTGACCTTGTAAAATCATTTACACAAACAAGCGTGGGATGTTCTAACATTGATTGTATATTCCATTTAGTGTGGAAAATTGAAAAGTGTCAGGCGTTATCAAACGTGAGACGATTCGCATGGGTTTTTGTTTCGCTCTCAACAACGAAGACATACATGTCACAGACACGCCTGTAATGTCTTTTAGCGTAAACAATTTGG